GTCCACCACTCAAGCATTTATGTAAACACTGGAGAAAGGTTAGTTCTAAGCCCTGCTTACCCAAGGGACAAGTCACCTTTGCTAAGGACAACAAGGAAATAAACTCAGAAACCCCAAGCCTCCCAAGAGCCATCAAGAAGCCAGGAGAGGTGGCACACACTTGTAGGTTCCAGCTACTTGTTCATGGAGTTGAGGACCATTTGAACCCTGGAGCCTAGGGTCAGCTTGAGCAACACAGCGAGACCTTCCCTCCAAAAGACGGGAGAGGAAGAAAAGGAAGGAAGGAAGGAAGGAAGGAAGGAAGGAAGGAAGGAAGGAAGGAAGGAAGGGGAGGGAGGGAGGGAGGATGGGAGGAAGGAAGGAAGGAAGGAAGGAAGGAAGGAAGGAAGGAAGGAAGGAAGGAAGGAGAAAAGAAAGGCTAGCCGGCTGGTTTTACATATTGCGGTGTTCAGTATAGCCTCTTAGCTTTGCTCTGAGCACTTGCTGGTCCCAGTCCTAAAGCATCTGCTCCAAAGCCTTTGGCATCAACTTATCTCCCAAATCTCTAGATTCAGTGAGGTGTAAGCACATTACCTAGAATATCTCCAGTTGCTCAAAGCCTGGCCTCACCTCACCTCCAGGTAAGATCATGACACCACTCTCACAAATATGTTTTGAATGAGGGCAGTCTCCTTGCAAGTGACTCCTTGTTATGGACCAGGGAAAGAGGAGTTTGAAGTTCAGTGACATAAAACTGGGTAAAGCTATTTGTCTGAATGTGCTAGAGAGGAGGGATCCCTAGGGAGAGCGGCTGCCAGGATTTTGAAAGGTTGAAAACTTGAGCAGGGCAGGAGAAAACGCTCAGAGGAAATAACAGTGGGCTGAACGAGGGTAAAGGAGATTTGTGGCTGATAAGAGGAGCAAGTGCACTGGAAGGGAAAAAATTAGCTTGAGGATAAACAAGAAAAGGGTGTGACCACCTCCAGGTCATGAAACCTGCCTACTGGGGACTTTCCCAGGCTTAACCAATCCTCCAGCTTCACCCAGCCAGGCATCTGCCTCGATGAAGAAAGCAGGATTCCAGCTTCCACGGTCCAGAAGAACGCCTTGGTTGGAGTGTTGAACAAGGCATGTTTTTGCCTGGAGTAGTGTTATTTCTAGCGGGGCTGACTGACCGACCTCCTGTTTTGTTAGCGCCCACAGGGTGTCTAGTTTACATTCCCACAACGGCAGGGAAACCTGTTATCCAACTCCTCGTCTCCTCCCACTTCTGGCTCCTAGTCAGGGTTGACATGACTCAGCTAAGTAGAGATATGGGTTGGGCCAAGCCCTTCCATCCCAGTGGGGTTATCTAAGGTTTATCTAAACACATCCTCTAAGAGGCCAAGTAAGTTGCATGCTGAGGTACCATTTTGGGACTGGAAAGGTCGATAAATAGGCACAGAAAACTCAGTGATAACTGAAAAGATGGGCCCAGTAGAGAGAAAAATGACAGACCATTCTTGGTCCCTACTAGTCTGTCGGGTGGCCCTTCTTAGAAAAATGACAGATCCACTCTGTGCTTTAGTATGTCTGAGGGCCCTCTGCCCTTCTCAGATCAAATGGGAAAAGCACCACAGCCTGGGGTGGAGAGAGAGCTGGGGGGGAGGAAGTTAGGAAAAATGAACTGTCAGGACGCCGCCCATACTGGGACGTAGTGGGGCTACTGTGTGCCTGGACTCGGGATGGGTCCCTTACAAAGTCTCTTTCACTAGAGCATCACTGGCCATGCTTGCTTAAGAGTGTTCATTAACCTTCTTTTATAGATGCCTAGGAACTGTGAGAGTCAGGAACAATACTTTTCATAAGTCGCCAGGTCCCGGATGCCCTTGCAAGATGCACATCTGCCATTGTCATGATTCAGCTCCCTCTCTGATTGAGACAATCCACTTACTTGCCTAAAACAGTTAAAAGACATTGTGAGCTGTCTTGAATCTGAACTCCTTCCTTTTAGAAATCCCCCACTTTTTTGTTCATTTATTTGTATATTATTTTTAAGACAAGATCTTGCTGTGTAGCCCAGGCTGGCCTTGGGAACTCTCCTCTCAGCCTCTTGAGTCTTGGGATCACAGGCCTACACCTCCTCACAAGGTTTTTGTTTGTTTTTTATATTTGCCTTTTATTCATTTAGTTTTCAGAGAAAATGTCTTGCTGTTTTTCCTACTCTGACCTTAAACTCCTGACTTAACCCCTTCTCCCTCCTCGGTCTCCAGAACAGCTGGGATGACAGGTGTGTACTCTGGGCTTGGCTCTACCTTATTGTTTTTGATAGGAGGGAGAACCCGTCTATCTGCAGACACAGAAAAACATGTTTGCTTTCCTGGTGCTCCATCAATCTAGGATGAGCACACAGGACTAAGGCTGAAGAGGCTAGGACCAAGGCTTTGAACTTGAATTTGGGAGCTTGCATGCCAAGAAGCAGAGAATATTTTGGAAGAGGAGCAAAGGTCACAAGACCCAATGTTTCCAGAAGGCTGCCAGCAGCGACACCTACTGTCCTAGCGGTGGCTTGAACAACCCATTTATTCTGTGTCAGTCCTGTCCTGCCAAACCAATTTCTGTAGCCTTCTTGATGATTTTGTGAGTTATGCACTATCATGTTGGGAGACCTAGGCCCCTGCAGATCCCTGATCCACAGCCCCTACACAGTCCCTGAACGGCTCAGCTCTGAACCCTGACCCAGAGAGAGAAACACACCCTGGGTTTGGTACCTGAGTCAGGGGAAAACACCCTAACTCTGAAACTAGTGCCAAAAGAACACACTTTGCCCCTAGAATTAAAACCTGTAAAAGAAATTTGTCCAGGATCTAAAATTGGAGCCTAAAAGTCAAAAAGAACCATAGAAAGAAACACAGTTTGGCCCTGGAATCAAAGCCATCTTCACCCCTGACACAAAACCAGCCAATCCCTGAGCAGGAAAACCCACCAATCCCTGAGTAGTAAGGGAGTAACCTCTAGCCTAGGGAGTGACCTTTCCCGCCCCTAGAAATAGTGAAGTAGTAACCACTGGTCTAGAGGCACAACACCCCATAAGCCTAGGGAGGTAGTCACCCCTAGCCTAGAGAGTACCTTGACCTTTTCTGGACCTTAGCCCAGAGGGGCAGCCGATCCCAAGCTACCCCACAGGGGGGCAGGCCTAATCAATCAGACTTTGGGTGAAACAATGTAACCAATCATTCCTTAACTATGTTAGAGTTTGTATCTATGTTTGGTTTTTTTTGTTTTTAGATTTATTATGTATACAGTGTTCTGCCTACATGTATACAGGCCAGGAGAGGGCACCAGATCTCATTATAGATGGTTGTGAGCCACCATGTGGTTGCTGGGAATTGAACTCAGGACCTCGGGAGCAGCATTCAGTGCTCTTAACCTCTGAGCCATCTTCTTTACTGCTTCCCTAGAGCCCTTGCCTGGCCCCTCACCCGTCTCTGTGCTCTCCCCACACGGGTAGGCATGTCCATGTTGTCATATGCTGTGGCACTTCAGGCACCTTGTCCACTCATTCAATCATTTCTTCTCAGGTGTTTATCCCATTCAACAACTCAGCATTCACCTTTACCACGGTTGGATGTGAAAGACCCAGAGATCAAAATCTGAGCTCTAGCCTCCAGGGCCTCGTGGTGTAGAACAGTGTAACACAGAGCAATGAAGAGCCAAAGACAAAACAGAAAATTTCCTAGCAGGCTATAAGTGTCCTCAAGGATGTTAACACAGGCAGACGAAGCCAGTGCCTGATGGTGATACCAATAATCCCAGCACACAAGTGACTAAGGCAGGAGGATCATGAGTTTGAGGCCAGTCTGGATTACATAGTGAGTTTCAGAGCAGCCTCGGTTACATAACAAACAAATACAGTAGCCAGAAGTTCTCAACCTGTATGTGTGTGGGTGTGTGTGGGGGGGTGTATTGTCAAATGATCTTTTCACTGTTACGATTCCTAACAGTAACAACGTTACAATTATGCAGTAGCAACAAAAAACTTTCATGGTTGTGGGTCACCACAAGCATTAAAGGGTCTCAGCATTAGGAAGGTTGAGAACCACTGCCATAGGCAGATTTGGTGTAGGTGTGGTTTGGTGAGACTTCCCAAGGAGTCCTTCTGCTCAATCTATGGGTGTTTCACCCTTAATGGCAGTGTGTCAGGCAAACGAAAGCTTGGAACAAATGTGTCCATCTTCCTGGAGTGTTTCCTTTCTTTTGAGGAATTGAGGAGGCAATGTCTAAGTATTAGTTTCCTATAAATATTCATCAAAGTAAAATGTGAAATTCCCTCTGAATTTTCAACATTAAACACGACACTTTGAGAACTTTGTAAAATGTGTAAAAGCCTATCCTCCATATTCTCTTTGACCCTCTGACCATGGCATGACTCCTCTCTCCCGTGTCCAGCTTCCCATTTTAGTGGCTCGTCCTTCCCTGGAAACTAGGGAGACATACGTTCTGGAAAACATTGACATTCTTTTGCTTGGCCTCAAGGCCTTTCACTCAGGCCTCCCTGCCCCCAAGACTGTCCTACTACCGTTGCCCTACACAGTAACTTTTTACTGCTCTGCAAACAGTAAACAATATGCCAAGTTACTTTATGCCTTCTCAATTTTCTCCAAGTTGTGCCGTTTGCCTGGAATGCCTCCTACCTGCCACATTCATCTGGCAAACTCCTACTCATCCTTCAAGGCCTTGCTTAAAGAATCCTCTTGTGTGAAGGCTCCAAGCAGGCTCAAACTAAATGGTCAGTTCCTTCCCATGTGCCACTCCAGAGTAGTTTTCTTTGTCCTGGTGCTGAGACTTCTTTTCTATGACTATTTCTCTGACTTGACTGTGGGGGCTAGGAGAGGGAAGACTTCACTATTATTCATGCATGTATCTTTACCCCTAATCCCAGTGTGTATAGTTGTGTATGACTTTTCCTGGGGAAATGTGAACAAACTCCTGTTCAGCCCCAGAACAGTGCAATGATGACAGAACACAGAAAACAATCCAGCTTGGAGAAATGATGAGTTTAATTAGGGTTATTTACAGGAGCATGGGCAAGCTATGGGTGACACCATGGAAAAAACACTCCCTCCCCAGCAATTATTAGCCACTGCATATCCCCGAGGAAGGATGGGTGCCTGAGACATCTTATGAGTCCTTCAAACACCACTCATGCTACCTTGTGAGCTTTGTGAGTTCTGCCCACTTCCACGTGGGGGATATTAGTGGGCCCTGTCATGTGAGTGTCTCAAGCAGTCACATGGTTCCAAGACAGAAACAGCCCTGTCGTGTCCAGAGCACATTTCCACAATACCCCACTGTTTTCTCCAGCTCTTATGTTCCTTCTGCTCTCTCTTCTGCCATGCTTCCTGAGCCTTGGAGGAGATGATATGGATGCAGGATTATTTTTTTCTCACTTAAAGCTAAGCATTGTTCCACTATACCAGAGTAATAGCCATTTTTACTGTCAACAGTAACCTCCACCCACTCTATAAAGAAGCTTCCATAGCCAAGACCCACAAGAGCAATAGCCTAGAGGAGTAAACATAATGTTTAGAAGGCAATTTGATAGGCATATACTACACATTTCAGGAAACAACAGTTGTAACTTCTTCACTAGGGATTTTTGTCTTACGATACCAAACATGTGTCCCTTCCTGTAAAGTGGGCCTTAAATTCAACTAGAAGTAGCTGGTTGCACCCATAACAGTTGTTCCACTATGGCTCCAGTGGGCACATTTTGTTTGGCACATCATAGTATAGCATGAGGGTCCATAACCAAACAAGATTGTGGATGACAATTCTCCCCCAGCGGTCTGCAGAGTACCTGAAAAGTCTCTGCACCACCAATGCGGCAATCCAAATCAGACAGAGTCAAGCCAAATTAGAAAAGACCCACATTTAAGGGATACAACGCTCCTGGATGGCCTTCCAGCCCACCCCCCAGGAGGAGATGGGAAAGAGAGACCGGAAAAAAACACACATCTGTTTTGTGGGGGGGGGCAGTTTAAATACCCTGTGGGAATGGTCTTGAGCATCTCTGGGGGAAGGGTCAGCATTTGGTGGACTTTCTGAGATGCAGCAGGGTTTGGAGGGAGATGAGGAGGGGCGCTTGGTTGGAACCTCCACCATAACATTCCAGACTCTTTGGGTCTATGGATACCAGAGACTGGGGTGAAGCTTCCACCAGAGCAGTACCTTCTGGCACCAAAAAAGTTTTGTGTACGGGGCCTCAAGGACATCTCTGACCAACGTCTCATAAGATGGAGGCCCATTCTGGCACTGAGATTTTCATTCAATAACCTTACGGCACTGGGTGGGGGTGGTGCACACCTTTAACCCCAGCACTCAGGAGGCAGAGGCAGGCAGATCAATGAGTTTGAGGCCAGCCTGGTCTACAGAGTGAGTTCAAGGACAGCCAGGGCTACACAGAGAAACCCTGTCTCAAAACAAAAACAAAACAAACCAACAAACAAAAAAACCAAAAAACAACAACAACAAACCAAACAGAACCAAAACCAAAAAAACAAAACAAAACAAAAAATCCTCATAGCTTCTGGGAGTGCCTTTTCCCATCCAGGCAAGATACCTTAATTCAAAGTCTTTAACCATTATTTTAACTTATAGGCACTGGCTGTTGTAGGATTCTTGTCAGTCATCTTGTTGGGTGTCACTTATGCCTTAGGCAACTGTAACACCCCCAACCCCTACCCCACCCCCACCCCTCCACCCCACCAAACAGCACCAATATGCCTGGCCATTGCATCCTGTGGACTGTTTCCATCCTTGCTCCTTTAGGACCTTGTACCACTCTCAACGCTTTTCTAAACAGGCAAAATGCGTTGAGTTTAGCATCATACAATAAAACCTTTTTGCAAAGGGTGGTCAGGATGGTTGGTGTCCCACCACCGACCATTTCAAGCAAGTGTCAATTGCTCTTGGAACTTAGCAGCTAAGGCAATGTCAGAAAATAATGTTAGTAAGGTCCAAGACAGCATGAAGATATCACATCACTTTGCACCAGCATTTCCTCAAAAGAGCGGTGCTGGCTATGGCATCATGGATGAGAGGCATGGTCTGATACAGGCTTCCGTATCCCACGGTCATTCTCCATAGCCATTCCATTTCCTCAACCTTGTGTATCGCAGCAAAGTCGCCACATGTCTTCACTCCAGAAGGGTCCAGTAAGTGTGGCTCACACTGTTCCGTCTGCTAGGAGGCCATCCAGGAGCAGGAGTGTACTATTGTTTGCCACACAAGTTCTGGCTTCCTGGATCAGACAGAGTCTAGAGTGGTTGTTTCCTTTCTATTGATCACACTTGCCTGGGTTTGGTGACCAACCTCCGGCCTTGGAGAAGAAATGTTTTCTGCATCCTCTGGTGAGATAATTGCCCACCCCTGGGAACAACTTATTCGGTTTCATATTTACTGTTCTGTCATTCAGTCCTTTTACCCCCAAGGAGGCTCACAAGCACTGACTTTGGCTTCATGACAGCTTTTCCCCCTAGGGACTCCGACTCCACAAAAATCTTGCCACATTTGCTTTTGTGTGACCTGGAAAAGCCCTGTGTCTGCCTTTTCTTTTTCTCATCCTGTTTTGCTTGCTTTCGCTCTTTATGAGCACGATTTACATGCCGGCAATGATCTCTCAGATCCACCGGTGCTTCTCCTGTCTTATAAAGAAAACAGCCCACCATGGGGCTCAACAAAACCACTAAGCACCAATGCCAGGCCTGAGGTCCCTGCAGCATTAGCTTCTTTCCTAACTCGCCCGTACACATATCGGGAACTTAACCACAAACACGCCCCCTCCCACACCAAGTCCCTCAGTAATGCTATCCTTCCTCCATGATCTTCCAGTCCCTGATACACACAGGATCCCAGGCAGTAATAACTAAGAGTCCCTAGCAGGACTGGTTTCTCTCACATTGTCTCAGATACACAATCTTTGAGACAAGGATGAAGGAGTAGCTGTATTACTCAGTCTCTTTGATTCAACACCATTCACAATGATTCCACCCACACCCACGTCTCATGTTCTCACCAGCCAGGGTTGGAGGCACTGTATAATTTTTGGCTCAGTCTTTTCCAGTTAAAGCCGTTCAGAGTAGTCTCCAATCATCGTGGTTTTCTGCACTGGATCATTATTAAGGTCTCTACCTTCTACCTGCTTGCTGAAGCATGGGTTTTCCCTTCCTCTGTATTGAAGGTTGGCCCTGAAGGGCATCTGTCATCTCCTCCCTCCCTCCCTCCCTCCCTCCCTCCCTCCCTCCCTCCCTCCCTCCCTGTCTCTCTCCCTCCCCCCCATCTGTCTTTGTGTCTCTGTCTCTGTCTCTCTCCACTGTCAGACTGTTCCTATGGGTTCCAAGTTTATGGATCTCAGGAGGGGCTATTTAACACTATCTAATTTGTATTATCTTTCCCTTATAGTCTTCACATGCCCCACCCTAGAAACAGCAAGTTAATGCCTTCCTTTTTTTCCCTTCTTGGTTTTTCCACATTTCCTACCAATTAAGAGGCTGTTGTGAAGGATAGAATCCAAACATATTTTTCATGTTGCAGCTTCTCCCTTAGACGAGCATGTTCTTTCTGGGCAGACAATTGAGCCACTGCTGTACGCATGTCTTCCCTCCACCACACACTCTTACGGGTGTGTGTACACATTTGTAGTCAGAAGAACATGTGGGAGTCAGTTTTCTCCTTCTACCATGTGGCTGTAGGAGATCAAGCTCAGGTCATCATGCATGGTGACAAGTGTCTACCCACTGAGCCTCATGCCTTATTATCATAGTAAAGGCCACACAACTGATACCAAAGCCTTCTTATGAACTTGTCCCATATATGCTACTTCAGGGGATACAAAGTATTTTCCTCCCTGTCAACCATTTGGCGGGGTTGGGAAATGATCCTCATACATGACAGACTCCATTCATCAAGGAGGTGTGTCATTTATCCCACTTGGATGAGGATGGTCATACTGGGGCCCCTTCTACAGACATTTCACCTTTGGATGACACAGCCTTAGTTGCATAGCAACAAGAATCCAATTGCTGCTACAGCAAGAAGGAAACCATACTTAACAGGGAAGGGGGCTCATATCAAGATCACCTCTGAAAATACTCCACCTTCAAACATTATCTTCAGTCTTACCACCTGTCTTATCACCCATAGCAGGGACAAGGCAACTGCTTCTCCCAAAGTTATCTTTGGTTTTGTCATATGGTTGGTGCCAACTAGTGCATAATTTTCCAGGGAAGATGTATAGAAACAAAACAAAAAAGTCTGTCCACCCCAGGTAGGGCACTGAGGACAGACAAAAGAAATGCTTCCAGACAGAAATAGCAGTAAACACCTTTAAGCCCAGTTTCATCACTAGATGGGTCTCTGTGAGTTTGAGGCCAGCTTGGTCTACTATACATATAGGTTTCAGGCCAGTCAGAGTAATGGGTTAAAATTCTGTCGTCATCCCCATGGTCCCAAAAGGTGCCCCTGAAATCTAGCTTGCTGAGTCAAAGAATTGAATTGGGATTACCCACAGAAGCATGGGTGAGGATGAATTTAGGAAAGCCCAGGTTTCAGCCTCATCACTGCAAAATCAAACCCAAACGTGCAACACATCCCTGAAGGGGTGACAGGGCAACTTACAGACAGCTAGACCAAAAAGAACCTTCTCTGCAGTGGTTACTTGCCTGTGAAGTGGTGGAGCCTTGTGAGTACCTAAGGCACTGCCTCTGTCCCTCCTGGTGTCTCCACAGCAGCCTCGTGCGTCCTCTTCCATAAGCGTCTGTTAGAGCAGCCACAGCTACTCTGGTGTCAAGATGGCAAAAGCCATGTCATCCCTTATGGGCAGAGTTCCACAACAATACAGCTGACCCGGAACTATTTATGTAGCTAAGGCTGGCCTTGACCTTGTGACCCTCTCTCCCTACCACCTGAGTGCTAGGATTATAGGTGTACATTACCACTCTGTAAACATCTTGTTTAAAGATGAATACAACTTAGTTTGATTCTTCTTTTGGTTTTACAGTCAGGGTAAGGAAGTTGGCATGTTCTCACAAACTTGGAAAACAAAGCCTTCTGGTATGTTGACTATGGAAGGGAAGACTAGGCCCTGGTTTATAATGTTTGGTTTACAGATGTTCGGCATGCTGTGCAGGCACCACCAAGAAGTGGGTGGCTGCAACATTCTAGTCTCTGCCTGGGACTAGGGAACCTTAAAGGGGACAGGTGAAGGGAAATCCTCACAGTCAAGAGAACTTCTGACAATGGTCATATGTTTTGCTTGGAAGGAGAAACTGTCAGATGTGGGATTATATATTGATTCAAAGGGGATTCCTGTAGTCCCGGTGTGTGGGAGGCAGCAGAAGTTCAAAGTCATCCTTGGCTATGCAGTGAACTTGGGGTCAGCCTGGTCTTCATGAGCCCCCCACCCCCGCAAAGGAAAGGTGTCACAATTTCCATTTAATTTTCCTATAAATATTCATATTTTCTAACCCATGTGATTCTACTAAAACTCACTGGATTGCTGTGGTTCATTGACCTTGAACTTACTAGATCAGTTTGAGCCTGAAGTAGCCACCTGGCAAAGGGAAACAATGCTGTAGAGTCTAATCAAGTTGCCCTGAGTTACTGTGGTGACCATGGGGCTAGCACAGATCACATTCAGACACCGTCCTAAGTCTCTTTCACATGCATACACCATGACAAATTTAATCCTTTCAACAACCCTATCAGGTAACTATTATTATAACCATTTTTAAAAATGAGGAAACAGACATTTGTTTGCCATCAGATAGCTAAGCAATAGATCTGAAAGTTAGGCTCAGTATTTTTTGTTGGGAGTCCACTTTTCCATAGCTGTATTACCTCCGCACACAACACACAACTCTGGCTAAAAACATAGGGTAGAAGAGGAATGTGCCCTTACACAACTGATAATCCCAGGCTTCTGGGGCTCAGACCCTGCCGAAGTGCACAGCATTACTTGGTACTGCCCAGATCTAGAGGCCCCAGTCTCCTCCCTGGCTATATTTCTACTTCACCATGGAGAGAGCAATTCCTTTCGGTTGGCCTGGTTCGACTTACACAGAGTCCTCACTAGCCTTCTCGGAAAACCAGTTCCCTGCCTTCCTGGTGACCTGCCGGCCCCAAAGACAGTGAAGTCACTTTCCTAAAGTGTATGTAGCAGGGCCTCAAACCTTCAGGGCCTCCTATATGAGGACATTTCAGCAGAGAAAAACAATGTCTGCTGAACCTAGAATTGAGAAAAGAGACAGGAGCAGGGAAGAAGCTAATTCCCCAGGGTGGGGGATTTAGATGGAAAACAGCTTGGCTTGCCCTTGACGACTGTGGGCCTTACCCACAATGGAGAATCGTTGAAAATCTGCACTCTTTAGCCTTCCAATATCACAACTTTTGAGCTACTTTTCCCTTTCTAGGCAGATGCTTTCTCATCAATTAGGAAACACTGCCATCCTGTGGCTATGGGTTGACATACGCTCCAACCAGCAAATCGCTGAAACTTCAATGGCATTGTTTAATGATTAAACCAAAGAGCACACCTATTGAGTCAAATGGCTGAAGAAAAGCAATAGTTACCTGTAAAGAGGGATGCTCTCTAGAGTCTTCATCAAACTAACAAACAAAACAAAAACGCCTGGCCTCATTTCTCTGAACGCTTACTTTGCTTTTAAAACTCTAGCCAGAGGCTTTACAGATTCTGGTGGCAAAGATGCCATCTATTCCCAGTCACATTGGTTTAGAATCCTACGCATTGTGGTTCTGCATAAGACGCTACCCTTTCCAGGGCAGCTCACGCCAGTCTGTCTCCAGGCTATTTCCCTCGACTGTGGCAGGCTCTGTTATCTATCACTCCTTGGTCTGTTCGCCCTGTATCCTCCCACGGTAGGCTAAGCCTAAATTCAACTATTTCCACTTTCTTTTTTGAAACTGAACGATTTGGGGTAGGTCATCTAACCTAAACCATCAGTTACTCCATTTGTGAAATGGGGATAGCACCTTAATCATAGGGATATTGTAAAGATGAAATGACAAAAGTGTGTAAAGACTGCCTGGAACATCACGGGTCTTGGTATTGGAAATTATCTTCCCGGTGAGGACTTGCTAGCGTTGTCCATTGGAGGCCAGTGATTTGATGTCGGAGGTTTACAGAATCCTCAGCAACAATCCGAGAATCGAAGAACTCTTTTAGGCTTTGGAGATCATCCACCGCTGTTTTCACGCGTGGGCAGCTGGCCGAGCAGGGATTGCAACCCGGCTCTTGCGTGCGCAGCCGGCTGCAGGTGCGTGGGCGTGAGCCCCGCGGCGCCGAGAGGCGCGGGGAGGGGCGGGGCTCAGCCACCAGGCACACTCATTCCTCGCGGTTCCCTATTCAGGACCGGGGGTTGTGCGTGGATAATTCAATCCCCGTGGGACTCGGCGTCAGGCCTCGGCCCAGGCTTGGTGGATTGGCTGTCTCGCTTGCCCCCGCCCTCGGTACTCACACCCCCACCCCCATCCGCGTCCCAGGTGGCTCGGGCCCCTGTGGTGATCTCTGTTTACCGAGAGAGCGGGTCCAAGTTGGGCTCCATCTCTGCACTGGCTGGCTGCTCGGCAGAACCCTGCCTTCCTGGAACCTGCGGAGAAAATCCGGTTGAACTCACCTTCGCCCTTTCCCTACTTCCAGCGCGGGGAGAGGTCGGGTAAGAAAAAGAGGGTTTGGGAAGGAGGAGCCCCCGGCCCGGGGGATCCTGCTGTCCCCCATTCCAGGACCTCACGCGCACCCAGGACTTCTATCCCTAGGCCTGGTTCCCGCGCCCATGCTCGGGGCGACGTGCCCACCCTGGGCGAGCAGCCCGAGGCTGGATCTCAGGGACGTCAGCTCCCTAGCGGAGGCCCAGGCGTGGAGACTTCATTCACAGGTGTTTCCCCACCCCAGCAGACGGCGATGACCCCCAAGCCGGCCGGACCCCCGGACGGGGGCTGGGGCTGGGTGGTGGCGGCCGCAGCATTCGCCGTGAACGGGCTCTCCTACGGGCTCTTACGCTCCCTGGGCCTTGCCCTCCCCGACCTCGCGGAGCACTTTGAACGAAGCGCCCAGGACACTGCGTGGGTCAGCGCCCTGGCCTTGGCCGTGCAGCAGGCAGCCAGTGAGGGGGGGCCCTCGAGGTGGGAGGCGGGAACCGGGTGGAGAGGCCGTGAATGTAGTGATGGGAGATAGGAGCCTTGATTACCAGACAACCTGAGAGCTACTGGTGGAACCAATTTCTAGAAGAGTGGGTCTTGAGGTCAAAGGGAGGAGTTACCAGGCCAGGCAAAGCAGCCAATAAGAAGTGTTGGAGATAGTTTGGGGGTCCCGGGGCATGTCTTCGTTGACTCCGCCCCCTTCTAGGCCCAGTGGGCAGCGCCCTGAGCACTCGCTGGGGGGCACGCCCCGTGGTGATGGTTGGGGGCGTCCTAACCTCGCTTGGCTTGGTCTTCTCGGCTTTCGCCCGAAGCCTTCTACACCTCTACCTCGGTCTGGGTCTCCTCGCTGGTAAGAAGGGGATGCCCGTATGGGTTATAATGGGGACAGGAGCTTCTTGTGGGGTAGGGGACCAGGGACGGAGGGAGGGAGGGAGGGAGGGAGGGAGGGAGGGAGGGAGGGAGGGAGGGAGAGAGAGAGAGAGAGAGAGAGAGAGAGAGAGAGAGAGAGAGAGAGAGAGAGAGAGAGAGAGAGAGAAAGAGAAAGAGAGAAAGAGAGAGAGAGAGAAGGGCTAAGGAATGCTAGGAAAAGCATTCTCATACCCTCATCCTGTCCTATCCATTTTCAGGCTCCGGCTGGGCCCTGGTGTTCGCCCCTGCCCTGGGTACCCTCTCTCGGTACTTCTCCCGCCGTCGGGTCTTGGCGGTAGGGTTGGCGCTCACGGGTAACGGGGCATCCTCGCTGCTCCTGGCACCTGCCTTGCAGTTCCTCCTTGATACTTTCGGCTGGCGGGGTGCCTTGCTCCTCCTTGGCGCTGTCACCCTCCACCTCACACCCTGTGGCGCCTTGCTACGACCCTTAGCTCTCTCTGGTGACCCTCTGGCCCCACCTCGAACGCCCTTAGCTGCCCTTGGGCTAGGTCTCTTCAGGCGCCGAGCCTTTTCAATCTTTGCTTTGGGCACCGCCTTGATTGGGGGCGGATACTTCGTCCCCTATGTGCATTTGGGCCCGCACGCTTTAGACCAGGGCGTGGGGGGTTACGGGGCAGCGTTGGTGGTGGCTGTCGCTGCAGTGGGAGATGCGAGTGCCCGACTGGTCAGCGGATGGCTAGCAGACCAGGGCTGGGTGCCCCTTCCGCGTCTTCTGGTTGTGTTTGGGTCTCTGACTGGGTTAGGGGTGCTGGCAGTGGGACTAGTGCCCACTGCGGGGACAGAGGAAGGCTGGGGGGCTCCCCTGCTAGCCGCGGCTGGAGCCTACGGCCTGAGCGCCGGGAGTTATGCCCCACTGGTTTTCGGTGTGCTCCCGGGGCTGGTGGGCATTGGAGGTGTGGTGCAGGCTACAGGGCTGGTGATGATGCTGATGAGCCTCGGGGGACTCCTGGGCCCTCCCCTGTCAGGTAAGGGCTGAGCCCGGGGATTGGCTTACGACTTCTGCCCCGGGATGCCACGCCTCTAAATTCCTTTATCCTTCTCCTTAGGTTTCCTAAGGGATAAGACAGGAGACTTCAGTACCTCTTTCCTGGTGTGCAGCTCTTTCATCCTCTCTGGCAGCTTCATCTACATGGGGCTGCCCAGAGCCCTCCCCACCTGCCGTCCAGTCTCACCTCCAGCTACCCCTCCCCCTGAGAGAGGGGAGCTGCTCCCAGTTCCGCAGGTCTCCCTGCTCTCGGCAGGGGGCGCTGACTCCTCCCGGGATAGCACTTGTTGATCGCTTTCTTGTTTGAGCCCCTTCCCTAATAAAGGATTTTTATCTGACTCTGTTGAAAAACAAACTAGCTGAAAACAACAGGACCCCAGTGGCTTTGGCAGTGAGGAAGGATGCCTGTCCAGTCAGTTTTCCTTTGCTCAATCCTTGCCTTAAGAGGGTCTTTGAGAAGTTGCGAGCTAATCATGTAAAGTTTGTTAGGGGGCATATCTAAACCCCTACTTTACATTTTTATTTATGTGGGTTTGCGAGGGCCAGATCTCTCCGAGCTGGATTTACAGGCAGTTGTGAGCTGCCTGGTGTGGACACCCTGAGCCAAACAGGTCACCAGGGGGAGCAGCAAACAGTTTGCTGAGCTCTCTCTACAGACCTACTCTTAAAAAGATTGACTTTGGCCAGGCGTTGGTGGCGCACGCCTTTAATCCCAGCACTCGGGAGGCAGAGGCAGGCGGATCTCTGTGAGTTCGAGACCAGCCTGGACTACCAAGGGAGTTCCAGGACAGCCTCCAAAGCCACAGAGAAACCCTGTCTCGAAAGAAAAAAAAAAAAAAAGGTTTGACTTTTATTTATGCTGTATGTGTGTGTCCACGGAAGCCAGAAGAGGACATCGGATCCCCTGGATCTGGATTAATAGGTGGTTGTGAGCCACCATGTGTGGGTGGCTCTGGCCCTCCAGAAGAGTGGGAAGTGCTTTTAACCGCTGAGCCTTTTTTCCAGCTCCCAAATGTCATACTTCTTCTTGCATTTGATTTGCCTTTGTTAGCCTGAGAGAAACAAAAATCCACTGGATGTGGTTGTGAGCACCTGTAATCCCAGCACTTGGGAGGAGGTCAGGTCTCAAGTTCGAGAGCAGCCTGGGCTACATGGTGAGGCTCTGTCTCAAAAGTACCAGAATCTTAGGTTGCAGATTCTGCTCCCAAGCCACCTTCCTCCATACATAGATTTTTCTCTTCATTTTTCCCCTCTATCACGGGAATAGTGGAGAAGAGGGAGCTTAGTGGATGGAGGGAAGAACTGTGTCGCCAGAGCTCATGGACGTCTCCACTCCTTTGTTCAGCCATGACCCTGTTAGCTGCCCCAAGCACCTGGACCTCCAGCTCTTTTTGAGGTTTCAATTATTGTCCAGTTTCCTTATTTGTTTTATATCCAAGGGACACCAGAAACCATATATAAAACATGAGAAGACTCTTGGCCTTTGATTCTCAGATTTGATTCAGAACTCAATGGGTTGAGATCTCCTGGATCCTTCAGAAAAGCTTGGGAGGACAAAGGAGGTGATATGAGAGTCATCGACAAAATACAAAGGGTTGGCACATCCATCGCAGGGAGCCCAGGTCTGCTGGTGGAGGCAGATTAAGGACCCTAAGGCACTGTGCTTGTGTGGATGCCTTGATGGGGCAGAAGACCTCGTGCTGCCAAGCTCTGGCTTTCCGTCAGCTCTGTCTCCTGGGGGAGTTCAGTCCTCTCCCAAGCCCTCCTCTTTGGGCAGAGGAATTTTGGTATCCAGTGGCTCTATTACAAGGTCCTGGGGTCTGGAGGTAGAAGCTGAGGTGCAGGAGAAGAAATGGGGCAAAGTGGTGAGAACTCCACTCCCAGCAAGAAGGAAGGCGCCGGCCACCATAAAGGATGCTGTGTAGTTGCCTGTCACATCCCGGAGGTAGCCTGGGTCCAAGAGAGAAAAAGAAACACACATGGGTGACCTGCATACTGGGGCTAATGGCCTAGATCCATCTGGGGGCAAAGGAAGACCCACTGTCTCAGAAGAGATGGACTTGCCAAGGTAGGACAGAATGAACTCGAGACCCTAGTTGCTTAAACAGCCTCAAAACGCCATTTCAGCTACCACCCTCCCCGTAGGACCTCCAGACCAGCCTGTAGGGATTTGGTGAGCCATAGTAAGTCAAGCATATCTGTGTGATTTGTCCTGGCAACAGTGGCCCTTCCAAGCCTTCAGTTAATAGTTAAGAGGAAGGTGTTTAAAGATCAGAAGGTTCTGGCATCTAGAGCATGGAGAACTTTAACCAGATGTTTCACACATTTGGGCAGGGCCCCAGTGGGCCAAAGGAAAAAAAGATAATGTTAGGCCAAACTAGGTCTTCTTCAAACTTAGCCTGCAGTTTCACTGGGGTCCTCTTTGTCTTTCCACTGAGACCTTCTCAGACCCAAGTTCTGTCCTCCTGTGAACCTACCTCAGAACTGCTGTGACTGGCTATGCAAGCTGTACACTGTAACACACTAGAGGGCAATATTAATATACACCATAGGGGGAACAGTTCTTACAATTATGCAGCATGACATCTCCGGCCCAGCCGGCAACCCGACTTCCCTTACCTGACAGTGGAGCTCCCAACAGCCCCCCGATGCTCTCTATCATCTGCACCAGCCCCAGGCCGCAGTAAATCCTTCCAGTCCCCACCAGTTCAGGAAGCACGGAGAAGGCCACTGGGGTCAGGGCCCCTGAGGTGAAGCCATAGGCCACAGCCAGAACCACCAGGATTGTGGGAGCCTGAGCCACAGGGAACAGGGCTAGTGACACCCCAGTCAGGGTTGTCCACAGCATCAGCAGTCGAGCCACGGGCCCTGGAACGGCGTCTCCCAGCCAACCAGATGCCACACGGCCCACAAGGTCAGAAATAGCAGCCACCGAGAGCAGGAAGGCAGCAGGCAGTGGGTCCCAACCTAGGTCTTGCAGATGGGCCACCAGATGGACGTAGGGAATGAAGTAGCCAGTGTTAATCAGAGTAAGGGCAATAGTGTAACGGAGGAAGGGGCCATGATGGAAGAGGGAGGTGAGCTGGGCTCCAGGGCCACCCACAGAAGTGTCTTCAGTCAGGGAGAGTGGGCGGAGCAGAGCGCCACAGGCCATCAGGTGTAGGGAGAGGGCAGACACTAGCAAGAGGGCTCCCCTCCAGGCATAGTTGCTGATCAGCCACTGGAAGAGGGGGGCAAATGCAAAAGACGAGAGGCCCACTCCAGTCAGTGCCAGCCCCATGGCCAGAGACCTCCGTCGAGAGAAGTAACGGGAGAGGCAGGCCAGGGTCGGAGTGAAGGTCAGGGCCCAGCCAGAGCCTGTCAAAAAGGAAAACAGGGAGGGGGTGGGGGAGCTGTGGACTTTGGAGGTTCTCAGAACACCCAGTAATCCCAACACGACCTAGCAGAAAACCAGCCCCTGCTTTGGCCTCCCACAGACTTAGGTTATTTTAGTGCTGGCTTTGACAATTTCTAGCTGTGTGACCTTGAGTGTTCTGCTTACCCTCCCAGACTCAATTACCTCATCTGCAAAATGGGGTTAACACACTGTATGGCAGAGATTCTCAACCTTTCTAATGCTGCAACCACTCAATACAGTTCCTCATGTTGTGGTGACCCTCCAATTGTAAAATTATTTTCAGTGCTACTTCATAACTATAATTTTGCTACTGTTATGAATTATAATGTAAATAAATATCTGATATGCAGGATATCTGAATGGGACCCCTGCGGAAGGGCCGTTCAACTCCCACGGGGACACGACTAACAGGTTGAGAACCACTGCTTTATGGGATCTTGGAAGGCAGTGGTCTTAAATAACTAAAACAGAACTTTGGAATTGGAGCCCCATCTCTACCGTTTCCGGCTGCGTTAATCTTCCTTTGCCCAGATGTATAAACATCGATAAACACTGAAAGCCTTATTATTTTTTTAAATAGGCCAGTGATATCTATTTCAAGTCGATACCTAGCACAATCTTAAAGAAATTCTCTGTCTATACTCTGTCCGATGGGTTTGGGCTTGTATTTTCTGGATTCATTATCTCTGTCTGACTTAGTCGTCCGGTTAAAGAATTCCCTTCAGGGCACAGGTTCTCTCTAAGCCTTTTTGGAAAAGGGTGGAAGAAGGCTTAAGATCCAGGCCTTGGCCGTCTGTCCTTGCCCAGGGTCTCACCTGACAGCAGCCCAATGCTCAGGTATAGGTGGGTCAAGGAGGTGGCAAACGAAGCGAGCAGCATCCCCAGCGCAGCCAAGATGCCCCCAGTCATCACCACAGGCCGGGGCCCCAACTTCGTGCTCAAGGCACTGCCTATTGGGCCTAGGGAATTGGAAGGGGTTCTGCGAGGTGGTCTCCGCCGTCCTCCCTCAGCATCCTCCCAACCCTTCGCCTTTCCCTTTTCCGGTCCCCCAATCCCCTCTTTTCCGAGGGTCGTAGACCACCGAACCCAGGCGCAGCACTCACTCCCAAACTGCTGCACCGCGATCCCTATTGAAGCGATCCAGGAGACTCTGGCTGCCTGCTCCTCAAACGCCGCCACAAATTCTACGAAGAAGACACCGAAGGAACGGAGCACCCCAAACACGAGCGCGGACTGGAAGAACGCCGAGAGCACCACCATCCATCCCCAGCCCCCATCGGGGGGCTCAGCCCTGCGCGCCATTAGGGAAAGAACAAAGCTAGAGCCCCTGCCTGATCAGGACTTTAAACCGCCCACTTTGACCCACCCACCCTGCAGGACGCTCGGCGCTAACTGTGGCTGGTGGCTAGGAAGTTACTGAGAAAGCGTGGGGCGCCTGCGCCTTTCCCCCAAGAGGAGGGAGGCCTATGAGCCAGGACCTGCCACTGCCACTGGGACCGGTTAGCCCGCAGTTGAGAATCTAGACCTGGGCCAGATGATTTCTTCAGAAGCCAGATAACAAAACTGGGTTCGGGCCACAACCCTGAGGAAAGCGTCTGGATGTTATCTTTGAGGACTCAGCACCTGCCTGAGTGGGCAATCATCCAACCCCAAGATAGCCAATTAGGATGCAGATTTCCTGAGCAGGGGGTGGGCCCGGAGGGGGTGGGCGGGGCTTACAGCATTGGGTCTACCCCTGCAGTGAGCGAGGCGCATGCGTAAGGAGCATGAGGTGGCTAGACTAGATCCCACGTGACGAGGGATATTCCCGCGAGGGTTCTGAGGGAGCTGTTGTAATTCACATTTCAAGACTTGCATGTAAGGGCTGCTGGTGGATAAACTGGTCCTGGCCAGGCAGGAACTCACTTGCTTAGCCAGGGATCCAAGAATTGCCCGGCAGAGTGGGTACGAAGGGATAGGTTATGAGGTAAGAGTCAAGAAAACTAATAGAGCACCTGGAGCGCCTAGAAAAGCCTTGAAAATTCTCGCAGGGTCTGCGAGGGGCAGAGGCAGAGGAAGACAGGAGAGTCTGTGATTCTAGCTGCTCCAGAGGCAAAGGCAAGCTCTAGGTCAGCGTGGGCAATTTAGCTAAACCCTGTCTCAAAATTTAAAAATAATGAAAGGGGGTACACAGTTTTGTGTTAAGTCCTGGGTTCAACTCCTAGTACTGCTCTGTTAAAGGGTAGTGGGGCAGACTTGTCGGACCCCTGGCATTCATTTCAGTGACAGGGGTTTGTTCTGTCCCGTCTGACAGGAAACTTGCAGGTCACAGAGAGCAAAAATAACTGGGGAGAGGAAGGGTGGCTGTCAGACCATCCAGAGTTCCTCGGTACCATCCCTTTCCTTCGTGGTGCTGGACGCTTTCCCTTTGCATTCTAGCAATGACCATTTCCTAACCACGCCCATTGGGACTGGTCAGCCCGCCGTTGAGAATCTAGACCTCATACTAAAGTACTCAGAGATAGAACCCTGGCTACTGGAGGCGTCAGCCTCTTCCTCTAGCCAGACCCCTAGCAAGCACTCCCTCACCTCATGACAACAATGACTTGGACTTTTCTGTGCCTTTATTATATCTCAGGCTCCCCAGGACTGAACTTGCAGCCTTGAGCTCAGAATTCATACCTAGGCCAGTCCCAGGCGGGGTGGGGTGGGGGGAATAAGGAGCTTATGCTTTTTTGTTTTGTTTTGGAGACAGGGTTTCTCTGGAGTCTGTCCTGAACTTGCTTCTGTAGACCAGGCTGACCTCAATCTCACAGAGATCCGCCTGCCTCTGCCTCCCGAGTGCTGGGATTAAAGGCACACTTGCTGTTCTTTCAGAGCAACGGGGTTCAGTTCTTGCCTGCACCTACACTGGTGAAACAGTGGGCTGTAACTCCTGTTCCAGGGGGATCTGACATCCTCTTCTGGACTCCACAGGCACCATACCCATGAGGGTCACTTACATTCATGGAGGCAAAACACTCATACACACAAAAATAAAGATACACACCAAGTTTGCTTGCACAGGTCTGTCTGCAACCCCAGCTATTTAAGGGACTGAAGTAAGAGGGTGGCAAGCTCGAGGCTTGCCTGGACTAGAGTGAGATGGAGGCCAGCCTGAGTGACCAAAGACTGTCTCAAAAACCCAAGGAGGGGTTAGAGACGGCTTACCAGGCCAAGGACTTGCTTTGGGAGCCTCATGACCTGAGTTCAATCCCTGGAACCCACAGAAACATGGAAGGAGAACTGACTCCACAAAGTTGACCTCTAATCGTCACATGAATGTATGCACACAAAAACATCATACACACATGCACTATAATAAATTAATTGCATTTATGAAACTAATAGCCCCCTTCCTAAACCCAAGGATTTTTTTATTTAACATGTGGAAGTCCCTGGGTTTAATCCCTGGCACCAAGCAAAACCGAACCATATTAAGTTTTTCAGTTGCATTTGTGGAAAATAATTATACCAAAATGCTATGGGTCTGCAATCTTGTTGTAAGTAGACTCATAGGTAGGGATATGGCAATGGTATAGGAAATAGTTGAATCTCAGGAGTCAAGAGTCCAGTCTTGAGATCTCTAGATTCAGGTTACAGTCCCAATCTTGATTATCACTTATTACTTTGTCAAGATGCCTTCCTCTTAGCTGGCTTCCTCACCTGTCAACTGCAGAGAATATTCCCTGCTTCTGAGGGCCTCCAGGGGGTTAAATTAGTAAGTCTGGGCACTAAAATGCTTTATTTAGGGCCTGGCATTTAATAGGTGGTTAAGTAATAGTAGCTGGTCTTATTTTCAATAGGTGACAAGCTGGAATGGAAGGTGAAACTTTTGCTTAGTATTTTGCCAATTTTTATTTTTTAAATATAGCCTAGGTTATGGACTTATTTTTTTTTAATGAAGAAATCCAGGCAGTTACTAAAATGGATTATCAGGGAGAACATTAGACTGAAGAAACAGGACCACAGCCTGTAGTCACTGGGGAGCTTCTGATGTCACATTCATCTTTGTCTCAGAGGAAAGTTCACAGGGAGGTAACCTCACAATTAGTGACTTCTGACCTTGGACTAGAACACACCTGTGCACCCTGCACACCTGGGCCATGGGAAAAGACATGTGTACTGGACATTAGACAGACGGCAAGGCACTAAGGCTGGGAGGGGGAGGGGCACACAGGCACTTACATACTCGGCCTTTTCCTAGCTGCTCTAGCTCACCTCTGCTGTCCTTGTGGGACCCGAGACCTACCCGTTTTCTTTGGTGACAGCTGTGTGTGACGGGAGGGCGGGTCACAAGGGTTAAGAGCTTGTGCTTGTACAGATGCAATTCCCAAACCCTTGGGGCTTTTCCTACTTTCTCCCTGCAGCTCCACACCTCAGTCAGGAAGTGACTTCACACCAGCAGGATGCAGGTGGCTCCGGATACGCACCATGAAGTCACCGGTTCCTACACAATGAGCCGGAAGGCTAGGGCAGGGAGGGAGAACAAGGACCATTGGAGAGGACAGTGGGATGGAACAGTGAAATGAACAGGATCCAAGTTGTTATATTTTGGAGCCACTTTCCAAGTCCCCACGTGCCCCCTTCCCCCAACAAACAGCCCAAGACACACAGAGGGCAAGAGAGGCTTCTTTATTCCAAGGATCTGACCTCAAAGGATCTAACATCTCACACAGCACTTCCCACATGCCCATCCAGGCTTCTACACAGAAGCCACAATACCGGCTCAGTCTCTCCTGCATTCAAGTGGTAGGGGAGTAAAGGGGAAAGCGAAGAATGGGTTTCTCACGGGCTCCCATCTGATGGCCTTAATTCCGGAAGTTCTGCCTTACAAATTCAAGTCTTCATACCCAAGTCCTATCATCAAATAGGCCCCAGGGCAGCAAGAAGCAGGACTATAAATCAAGGCTCCCAAATATCTAACATTCCAGACACCCCATCCTAACATTTTTACCTACACGGTCTACACCAGAAACTGCAGCACTCAGTAACCTCACACACTATCTGGCAACCTGCTCACAAAGAAAGGGGCAATTGGCTAAGCCAGGAACCAGCCTTCTAAAGCCTTGAAGCACTAACTCCAACAACAATCCTCAACGACAACAAATCCACATGGAACTCAGCCCCCTCTATCTTCCCGTGTAAAGTCCTAGTACATTCACTGGTCGCAGACAGGAATGTAGTGGGGAAAGGAAGACTGAGTCACAGACCCAGCTTCTCAGGTAAGAAAATTACCAAGCACCCACGAAAGATCAAAGTTTTGGAATCTGGACACTTTCCAGAAGCTGTCCAAAAACAAAACAAAACAAAAAGCACATTCGAAGACAAAAGGCTATTAAGCCCCCAAGGAACATTGAAATCCAGCTGCTCGAGCAGTAGAGGATGGGTCAGACTTGTAGTTAAGGTAAGGAATGTCATTAATTCTCCCTAGGTCGCAACATTCTTAGAAACTGGACAGATAAGAACAGAATCTCTGGTACAGATCTTCAGCTCTCTCTCCCTATGGGCATACTAACTCAGCCCCAGTGGGAGGATCGTGAGCTCAGCTGAGACCCTTCGCCGGCTCTGTCTTAGAGATGAACACAGTACATTCAAACGAAGGCGGGTAGATCAATGGAACAGCTTAGATGCTAACCCTCTTTGCGGGAACGACTACCTACCTCCACTGAGAATGATGAGGGATCCAGTTCCCATTTCACAAGCCTTCAGGAGGAATTTATTATCTACATTTTGTGTTCATCAAAATGGTTCCCACCAGCCACGGAGAGCTGAAAAGTTTCTTTCCAAGCCTAGTCTGCTAAAGGACTTGCACCACCCAGAATACCAGGGAGGATTCCTTACCTAACCTTACAGGTTCTCAGGGTTTGCCTTAGGAAAACTAAAGGTTGCAGTCCTAGAACTGAAGGAACAAACTAACAAGCAAACGAATAGATTCCAGAGAGAAAAATTACAACAAAAACAATGTGCAACCCTCAAGCCAAAGGACAGAGCCGAGCGCTAAGAAGCTCTGCCAGCAGAGCCGTGCCCTCGCCTGCGCTTCGGGTCACTTTTGACCACAGTCGTGGAAGAGGGAGGTCGGCAATGCAGACAGAACGAAGGCCCTGGTGCCACCCGCAGGCCTTAATAAATTATATTTACAGATAAACCATTTGAAATGGGGGGAGGGCAGGGACAGTTCCCTTGAAGAAATCCCTTGTGTCTCCTTTTCCCCAGCCCCTAGCTACCCAATCTGTTTTGTGAGGAAGAGGTTTTGACCAGCAAAACAGAGGCAGATCTAGCCAGGATCTGCCACCCCTGCTCTCCCCAGTATGAAATTAAGGTGACAGAAGTTTCTGACACCAGAGTGGCCTGTCACACTCCCTTATCAAGACCATCAGGGAAGCCAAGCCTGAGCCTGCAGCTTTTGCCGCCCCCAGGGAGCACGTGTGGTTCCGGAGAGGGTCGCCCGCTATGGGCTCCCGAGGATGTGGTAGCGCACTTTAGTGTTGGTAGCAGCCCCGTGTTTCTGACGCAGGTGCAGCCGTAGTTGACTCTTGTGCCGAAAATGCAGGCCACAGGGGTCGCACTGTGGGAGGACAGGTCTGTTAGGTCCCTGCCCTTCCACAACCACCCTTTAGTTGGAACAGTAAGGGGGAATTGTCCAGCTCTCTGATGACAATCAACCCATTAGCATTCATGCCCTTGTAATTCCTCTGAGGCGCCCTGGAGGTGGGCATTGCCTTACTTAACAAAAGCACCAACACCCGTTAGCCCTTTGGGACAACAGTCCCTAGTCCTGGAATATAATTACCCCCACCCCTCTCCCCAGTCCAAGCCCCCTGATTCACTCCAACTCTTTAGGCCGCCGCCTATTTCTAAGAAATCTAGCATGTGGCAAGACCTGGCCCTGCCTGCGTGCTTGTGGGGGATATGGGTTAGGTGGTATAGGGTACCCACGTGGTATGGCTTCTCCCCTGTGTGGATGCGAACGTGGCTTTTGAGCGTCTGTAGGTGGCGGAAGCGGGTTCCGCAAGTGGGACACGGATAGGGTTTCTCTCCAGTGTGGATCAGCACGTGCGCGCGTAGGTGTGCCACCTGAGGAAGGAGCCCGGAGATCGACTCGGAGAGGGACATAACCTTCTCCGCTCCTCCCATTTGCCTGCCAGCCCTCTCCTTACCTGAACAAAACGCGAGCCGCACGTCTCACACTTGTACGGTTTCTCTCCAGAATGGATGCGGCTGTGCGTTTTTAGATTAGCTGGTCGGTTAAAACGTGCTCCGCAGATGGAGCACCGGTAGGGCTTTTCCCCTGCAGGTAAGGAGGAAGACAGTCAGATCGCCTTAAGAGAACGATGGGCCCGAAGACTAAGACCCCCTCCTACCTGTGTGCACTGTGCGGTGACTAGCCAGGTTGCCCTTATAGCGGAAAGCAGATCGGCACAGCTGGCATTTATAAGGCTTGTCCTCTCTCCCCGGAGCTAAGGGGTCCAGCCCCGATGAGCACTCAGCCACAGCCTCACAGTTCTGGCAGCTGAAAAACTCACCTCCTGGGAACGGTGGAGAATAATGACAATCTTATTTATTGAGGACTTCCCAGGTACCAGGATCTATTTGCCTTTTTAACCCCTAACTTACTGTGAAGGCTATTATTGGGGGACTCACTTGGCTTGTTCATGGCTGTATATTCAGTAAGATACATCTGATTTAGTAGTATGCTTATGATTTTCGATGGTAGTGACAGTATGTGAAAGTTCTTGCAAGTGGGTGGATGTTTCTGTTTCTCTCCTTTCTTGCCTCACTTGGTGACAGACTGCCAGAGAGGCCCTGCCAAACTCTGGGCAGACTGTTCAGTCCTGGATTGGGGTAGGCCAAAACTTCCCAAATCTTCTGCTCTTTGTAAGGACATGGAGAGCTTAAAAAACTTTATGATTCGTCCCCTCTCTCTGACATTCTGACTGATGAGGTGCAAACTTCACAGAAGGGTCTAATTTGCAGTCAGGTTGGGGAACTGTTAAACAGATTTTTTTCTGAGGTCTTTTGGTCCAGGTTGACCTGGAACAGCCACAGGAGAGAAGCCAGAAGAGAAAGAAGGACCCTTACCTGGTGGTGGGTGAGCCTGCTTAGAAGTTGATCCAGAAATCTCTTGAGCCCGGGGTGCGAAGAGGAAGGGGGCATTTGTTGGAGGCCCACATTTGAATCGCGCAGTGGTAGTAGCTAGAGATAGTCTAGGCAGACAGTTGGAACCATAGAAAAAGTTAGGGAGTATGGGGGGACGCTGCGCGTGCGCACTCAAATGTGTGTGGTGCGCTGCTTTTTTCCCTGGAAAATGGGGATTTATACCTTCTGGAAGTGAGCAATTACTAGTCAGTAAGTCATGTCCCCTCTGGCCTTTGGCTAACTACCTAAGGTGGGCTAGTTTCTCTGAAACCCATCCCCAGATGGCACCCTCGGTGGCTCTGCATCCTACAGCAGGCCAGCCTCTGAAACTCTTAGGAGTTAATAGATTCCATACCTGCTCTGGAGACCAGGCGTGGGTCCTTCTTCACTGCTGCTACTGGAGGCTTCATCTCCACTAGGGAGCCTGGCTTGGGAGCAAGGTTGACCAGAGCTCTCCCCAACCAGGCTCTCTGCTTGTGAAGTCTGCGAATTTAGCACAATAAATTTGTACTTTTTCCAGTTGCAGGCCTTGGGGTCTGGGCTGGCTGGACTAGGGGAGCCTTGACTGCAGCTTCGAGACTCAGTAGGTGGATCTGGGTGTCCTTCTGAGCGCCTGGGACTGCCTGGTGGAGGAACTGTTAGGGGCCTTGGGGGTTCTGCCTCCAGGGGTCGCAGAGAGATGCCTTGAGGTTCATAGCTGGAAAAAGTATGATGGCCATTAACACCGTTTCCTAATCGTTGCTCTGGCCCATAATACCAGGAGCACCGCTTGTACGGGGAACACAAACCCGTGGCCCTTTCACCTGGCTTGGATGAAGCGGTGGCATGCCTGGACTACATGTTCCATCTGCAGATAGGTGGCAGCCGCAAGGACAGCTGGTGCAGTGGCCGGAGAGAGGCGAAGCCTTGAAGTGTACATGAAGTCCAGAAGAGGAGCAAATCCCCTGGCTTCTGGCCCCCCAGGCAGAGAGAGTACATCCACTCCGACTCCTGCTCGGCCTCGGAAAATTGAATAGAAGAAACCACTGGAGAGAGGACAACGGGGCCGTGTTAGAAGCTGGGAGACCAAAGGAGACACAAGATGCCTTAGAGTCTTGCCTCTCCGCTAGCACTGCTGCCCCAATTCCTGGAGGATCCCCCATGCTTCTTTTTCCTTCCTTCCTATCCCCTCCCCTCTGTCTCCCCAGTTCTGGATTACAGGTGTGGGCCACTATTCCCAACTTCCCCCCTGTGTTGAATTACCTCTCAACGGCCTTGTGACTCTGTTCTCTACCCAGTTAGTCCCAGGACCCCTATTCCCCTCGAACCTGCAGGCGATAAGAACTGCCTTGTGTGCTCTTAGGGGTTGCCCGCCGACCAGCAGCGTGACGTCAGTGAGGATCCCGCGCAGGCGCAGCTCATTCAGATTGCCAAGCACGTCGGAGGAGTGGCGCGTGAACTCTCGGACGTAGCCCAGCGCTTCTTCTGGGGCCGCTGTGGAACCCATAGCGACCCAGGCCTGCGCCAGCCACGAAAAAAGTTATGGGATCCAGGCATGCCTAAGACACATTCCCTTTTCTGCCGGTGTTTTCCTCCCGGGGTGACCCTAGCGCCAACACCATCAGATAGTGGGTCCAGCATCACCAGACCCTCTTAATTCATCTCGTTCACTCTGCCCTCAACGGTCTCTTCCCTCCCGCTGCCGGATCGCAGAGCTCTTGGAAGAAGTTAAAAACACTGGTACCTCCGTCTGGAGGACGAGTATGAGGGCTCTCACACTCCCGCACGCTGTGCGTTGGTTCGACTCTAGCTACCTTACCCATTACCTTCCTTTTCTCTGCGCCTGGGTCACAGACCTTGCCTGAGGACCACATATGATCAGTAGCCTTCCATGCCCATGCGACTCCTATCGTTAGACCCAATACTCCGCATCTCTTTTTAAGCACAATTTCTGGGATTCAAGTCTTATTACTATCAACAAACCCCACCCCACTTTGGGGACCCACAAGTCTGTTTTCTTCAAAGTCTGATTCTTACCCCTGTCCTGCAGGGGCTGTGGCTTCTCTCCTCGAGGGGGGGCGGGGTCTCTCTTCTCTTTCGGCCTCGGCTCCTTTATCCGGCCGGGATGTCGGGGGCGGGGGTAGAGGTGGGGTGAACTCGTGGGTCCGTATCCTTCCTTCCTCTTTCGCTCTCCAGATGGTGAGCCCGGGGCGGGGTCTCTGTCTCAAACGCTGTATCTCAGAATCGCGGGGTGGTCGTCTCTTGGGGGTGGGGGCCTTTGGTTCATTAAATGAGCACCCGAGGATGAGGATATTAGAACTGGGGAGGTTAGTGATGTGGAAGGTGGTAACATGGGAGCCTTGAGTCGTCGGAGGACCTGGGACAGCGAGAATTGAGTTTGGGTTTTGGAAGAGGGTGCCAAGAGCTTGTTGAAGGAGAAAGGAAATACCGTAAAACTCCCCTTTCCAAAGTACTGGATTCAGGGAGAAAATAGGGAGCCCAAGTGATATCGGGTTTGGGGAGGCGGTAGTGGACTCTCCTGGGGTCTCAGACAGTAGGAGAAGGAGGCGTGATTGACAGGCAGGGTCCACAAAAGGAGGGGGCTCTGACCAAGCGGGGTAAGGAAAGGGCGGATATGATTTCTAGTTCGTTTCCTTCCATTGTCCTGCGACCGGACGGCTCCTGCAGCTGCTTCCCCTCGAGGAGGTGGGGAAAGCCCCGGGTGGGGACCGAGAGACGCTCGGGAGACCTAGGCGTCCGGCCTCTTACTCCTGACTCTCTTCTGAACCCTTTTAGGGATCCAGAGAGACAGACTCCCGCCCAAAGCCCTGCTGCTCTCCATCAGTCCTAGCTCACTAGGGCCTCGAGCACCCGCCGGTCGGCTGCGCTCAGAGTCTGGCGGGACGCCGGGGTCCAGCGCGGCAAGTAGGCAAAGCTCGGCAATGTCTGCATCCTTCCACGAGGGGGCGGACGAGCACTATAGCCTCGCTTCGCCTCTAGGTCTCCTGGCTGGAGATGTGCTCAGACCAGGGAGCTGGATGCGTTCAATCTTCTGTTGCCTTCTCTTTGCGAGAGTTTATTCTGCACCTTTGTCTCTTAGTGGGGCACTAGGGAGAGGACAGAAGAGTTAGGGTCTCCGAAGGAAAGCTGGAACTCCTGTGGAATTGGTCTTGGAATGAGGGAAATGGTTGGGACAAGGAGTGGGGTCTTGTGCCTGCAAACACAGGTTTTTCTTTTCTAATTAGGTGGATACTGTTATCCAGATGTCTGTAGACGTGAATTTTTAGTGAACATTATATGAACCTTGAGTGGAGTAAACAAAGGGAGGACTTGAGGAGAAGGGAGGAAGAACCTTATTTTAAGTACTCTGTTCAGGAGATAGGCAGAGACCACACCCTTAGATTTTGTTTGGAGAGCCTTGTGGGAGGACAAGGTTCATTTGAAGAAGAGGAGCTCTGTAGTTACGGGGTCAGGAACATGTGTAGTCAAGAGTGATAGCATTGGCCATGGAGCTGCATAAGCAGGCCTGAGGCCTCTCCTTTCTGTTCGAGGGGGCGTTTTTTTTTTGTTTGTTTTATTGATTTAAGCAGACATACAACAAACAAAACAGCAGCCCAGAAGACACCTGGGGATAAATAACCTAAGGGTTCAGGATGAAGATGTGTCTTCCCTTTGTCAGGGTTATTTTGGTCTCTATCCAATTTTTACCTCCAGTTTGGAGGTGAAAACATCAAGGGCTGCCTTTGATGTCAGGATGGAGTTAGGAATGTGGTCAGTTCTGGGGTGCTACTTGCCATAGGATGTTGTTATAGTCCACGGGGCCTGTCTTTTAGTCTTGAGAGCTAATAGCAGGTTGGAAGTGTGGAGGTGGTTTTAAAGGTTGAGGGTGTGTGATGATCATGATTTTGAGACTGTCATCTTGTTATTTTGGTCTACTGGGAGAGCTTTCTGAGTATTCTCTGTTTCAAGTTTTAGATGAGATTGGGGACATAAAATTCAGTTTGGAGGTTTTAAGAGGCAAAATTACATTGAGTTGGAGGCAGAGCAGGAAGCTAGGGTCAAGTTTGAAGGCTTTTTTAGTTGAGGACTTGTGGGGGAGTTTTGCATTTGAATCCTGTGGAAACTCATTTTGAGGGGGGAGGATATTCCTGTGTATATGTTTAGGTATGAAACTCTTCCAGAGAACAGACCATGAGAAGCACCTCCCAGGATAATTTGGGGCTGTCTGGTTTTGGGGTGTTTTGTCACTGGTCACATTTGGTGAAATGGAGATTAATTTAGAAGTTCACCTATTCTAGAGCACATTTCTGGTTTAGGTTATCTTTTGCTGATAGCCCCCTCTCATCCCAGATTCCAGAAAGTTCTATTTTAGTGAACCTCCAAACAAGCTGAGGCTTTGAAGGGAGAACCCTGGAAAAGCAGTATGTTTCATCACAGACTTATTAGTACACGGCTCATTGAGCTAAGGGGGAAAGGTGGCTTCACACCCTGAACCCCGATTTCTTATGGAAGAAAATCTGTTTGGAGGAAAGTGGGGTGTCTCTTGTTAAAGTGGGTGCTTCTGACCAATGCAGTGCTGCTGGAACTGGCAAGGAGGAGCTGTAGTGGGCTACAAGGAGGTGATTCTTGCACCCTGATTTTTAGGATAAAAGCCCCAAACAGAAAGCAGAGAGAGGACTAGGAATGAGGGTGAACTGAGGGGGGGAGGGGTTCCTAACGGCAGCAGGGGCTAGAGGGTAAACCAGGCCAGATATTCCCGCCTAGGTCCCTGTTCTCTTCGGCTCTCCTCCCCTCTCTCCCTCCCACCGCCCACCCCCCCAACCCAAGGAAAAAAACTGCCTGTGCAATAGCAATGGCAGATTCCAGTCCTCCAGGCTTTCCTAAACCACCACCGAGACCAGCCAGGGGGGAGGGGAGGGGAGGGGAGAATCGGGCTTTCCTGCTTCCTTGAGACAGGGGCAATGAGCTTGACCTCTTGGCCCCTAGCCCTCTAAAGAGTGTCCCCCGGTCTGGAAGCCAGGTGTCCTGGACCCTAGCCCCCAAGCGGGGGGGCCTGGAGAAACGGGGAGGAGGAAGGAGGGAGTGACTTCCAAAATTGGCATCGGGACAGAGCAGGGCTGGCGGGAGGCAGGAGAAAGACAGAATTTTCCTGAAAAAACGGGGGTATCTAAGGACCCCAAATTTGGGTAGCTAGTTCAGGACCGTCTTCCCAACATCCTAGATTTTTTTGGGATTTTTTTGGGGGCCCCGGGACCCCTCTAGATGGGGTGAGGAATGTAGTGTTGGGGGAATCTGACTGGGGCATTGCAGCTGCCTCTCCCGCCGAGTTGGAGACGGATGGGCTGGGACGGGTTTTGGGGGGGTGTCCCCAGTTCTGACTGGGAGTGGAGGAACCCCTTCAGAGCTCTCTTGTGGGGGTCCCCCTCCCCAGGGCACTCCCCAGTCCTTGAGCCAGCTGAAAGGAAGGAGGCCAGCGATGCGACTGGGGCGGCTCTTTTCTCCTGCACCCCAAATGTGAGGGATGCACCCCCAAATTTGCTCCTTTCAAAATAGGGGACCAGGATCTCAGGGGAGAGTAGCTGAGGTAAGTGGGGAGGAAAGTGTCCCCTGTTTTCAGGAGAGACGTGGCGGTTGGGGGGGAGGTTTGGAGGTGCGTGCTGGGGTGGGGTTGGGCTCTATAACTCTTGGAATTGGGGGGATGACCAGAGAACCTTTCTCTTGAACCCCTAAGATGTAACCCCCCAGATTGGAACCAGAGTCTGAGACTTGAGAGCCCCCAGTGACCCCAGACATTAGGATAGTGTTTGATTTTCTTACCCCCACAAAAGCTTCACTGAGACAGGAGCTGGGGGCAGCAGTATTTGGGGGGTTCTGGGGTGCAAGGAGCAGGAGGCCTTGGCAAGTCTTGATGGGGGACGGTGGTAGCCTTGGAGAGGGCCTGACATCCTCAGGGGCCCTAAAAAGACTGCTTACACACACCATCTTAGCTCTTTTGATTGCTAAGAGTTTTGGGGGGTGTGTCGGAAGCTTGGTGTAGTGAAGGGTGGGATGAGAGATGGGAGATTAATATTTGGGTATTATAGAGTTTTTTGTTTTTAATTTCCAGAAGAAACTTTTGCCTTCTGGGAGGTTCTCTTTAAAATCAGGTCTTGGACAGGAGGAAAAGGCTAAGGGAAGGCCTAGGGTTGGGGGTGGGGAGAGACATGTTTGTCTTTGCTTAAACGTGGCTCTCAGGGGTGGGCCTCCCTGCCTGGGCCTGGTGAATGGGCTAATGAGTGTTGCTTTGGGGGTGGGGCGTGGGTCTTGGGGGTCCATGGGGAATGAAAGCAGCACTTGGGGGTTGAATACTTTGGCCTTTAGGTTTAGATGGGCCTTTTCTTGGGCTCTGCTGCTCCCCTTCCTCCCTGGCCTCCATTTCCTGCCTTTGGCCTCCATCTTGTGGCAGGCCCAGGGCCCAGGGTGACTTCCGGCCCCCCTCTCTCAACCGTGTTCCAGCCCCTCCACCTCTGGACTGCCAACTCCCAACCCTGCTGTCCTTGGCCCTGACTCTTGTAGCGTTTCTCTTGGGTTCTGACCCAGGGAGGGAGGAATGGACACAGGAAGCCTTAGGTCCTTGCCTTTGTTGGGAGGAAGTTTCTTGGTCTTCCCTAGCCATTCCCTGTCTCCTCCGGCTCTGTCCTAAGGATGCCCAGAGCTGAATTCCTATAGAGGTGAAGAATGTTCCAAGCTTAGCACACTGACCTCATCCCCCAGGGCCCTACCCTGGCCTCTGCTAACCTTTTGGGGGCCATGTTTGCCATTCACCCTTCTCCATCGCCTCGCGGTTGGTGGGGGTCTTCATGGCGCCGTCATGTGCTGTCTTCCTCTCAACCCAAGTCCTGCTCCCGCCCCAGCAGCACACTGTGGTTTGTACGGCACTGTGGCCACGTCCAAACCACACTGTGGTGTTAGAGCGAGGGTGGGGGAGGCCACCCTGGAGAAGCAGCACAAAGCATCCCATCTGGGTCCTGTAAAGGAGTTCTGACAAGGTGGGGCGGGAGAGTATGGGACTCCGGAAAGAGCCCCTCTCGAATCCCCAGGTGGTCTCTGTGAGCCACCCGGGAGTAAGTTCTGTCCCGCAGAGCCGAGCAGAGCAGAGTCCTTGTTGCCCACTCCCAGCTCTCCTGGCTCTAGCAGCACAGAAATATTGGCACTGGGATGTGAGTCTGCCAATATTGGCTGTGCTGCTCCGGGCAGGGTGGTGAGAGCTACTGAGAAGGGGCTGGGCCCCTGAGGGCTGAGGAGAGGAGAGGGAAGAGCAGCACCATGCTGAGGCAATTTTATTATAATTTTCTGTATAAAAATGTCCATCAGACGGAGGTCAGAGGGTGTGGGCACGTTTCTCGGGAACAAGATGGGCAGCTCCAGTGGCGTTCTGACCCTCTCTCATGCAGTCCTTGCTTAGAGTCCCAGGTGGTCCACAGGTCCACGGGGAACAGTGAGGGTCAGAGGCGGAAGGCTCAGCAGGAGAGCAGAGGAGCGTCAGCAGAGGTCGAGAGAAGGCCAGAGTCCAGGGTCAGGCTGTCTGGAACAGGAAGTAAAACGGGCCGAGATGGAGCAAACACGGAGTATGTCTCCAAGAAAACCCTCTCCTCCTCACACAACGTATTACTAACTGACCCAGCCCCCTGCACTGAGTATCTTCGGTCTGAAACCCTTGTACGAGAAAGGGGCTTCTGCTGGGACCCTCCCCTACCATCCAGGTGAGTACTTCTTCCCCACCCCAGGCAGTGTGGGGGGAGGAGGACTCCTACCCTGGTCGAAGTTGAGTTTCTTGGCTGGAGGAGTTTCTCCTAGCCCTTCAACATCCACCAGGTCAGTGTTGGCGTCGGAGTCGTTCAGAGCACTGAGTGTCACATCTGGGAGGGGGCATAGGCTAGGTTCTAGGTTTCCTGACTGCTCTCCCTCGTCCCAGTTTCCCAAAGCTTCATGTTCTACACAGCCCTCTACCCGTTTTGACGACTGAGCACACAAGAGTCATGTGTCCTTTGACCCAGGCCCAATTCTCTCATTGAATCTCAGGTAGGACCTTTAACCCCTACCCTAGGCAGCAACTCTACAGCCCTCACCAGCCTTCTGTTTCTTTAGGGGAGGACCCCCAGCCTCAGGGACACTGGAGCTGCTGGGTGGAGGGGCAGTGGGAGGGGAGAGGACCCCAGATGTCATCTTCTTGGGCCCTTTCTTGGGTGACTCAGTTGGAAGAGGGACGCCAGAGTCTTCATATACTTTTCGCTTTACAGTGGTCTTTATCTGAGCCCTGAAGATAAGAGAAAGCAGATTAGGGAGACTGTCACCAGAGAGGCTGAGGGAAGAGGGGAGGGGAGGGAATAATGGGCCACTCTGAAGGACTTCTAGTTCCTTCATAAATACCCAGATCAAGGCCCTAATCCATGTGTAGTAAGGGTCCCCCTACCCTTAGTAACTTTGTACCCCATTAGGGCAAATGGGTCATGGAGATTAGAGCCCCTGAACGGAGCAGTCAGAAAGGAGAGATGTCTGGATGTGTAGGGCCACCGGGTATGTGTTGGTGATATAAAGGCAAACTGAGTTTTTTCAGATTCAGACCAGCTAACTAGTTGAGAATGCATCCCAGATGTGCTGGTCTCGGGGTTTATTTAGACAGCTAGGGAGCCCTCATCATCAAATACACCCATTGAGAATCTGGGCACCTGAAGATAAAATTCTCTGAGGGTCCTAGTTACCATCACATTTCCTGAACTCCCGACCAAATGTCACAGTTACTATATTCTTTCAGCCCTCAAGGAAATGCTAACACAACTAGCAACAAGTAGGAAAGATGCGAGCTGAGGGAGTCTGAGGAAGAAGAATGGGTAAGGAGGAGAAGGTTGCCCACCCCTCCCCTTTCTCTGCCGGCCACCCCCCCTCACACTGTCCGCTCCTTGATGACACAGCTGATGTGATTAAGATCGTCCCCAAATCGCTTCACAGCGGCCCTCAGCATCTCTATCTCCGTCTCCGTCCACTTGGCACTGTCGGAAGGGGAGAAGGGTGATAGCAAAAATGGAAGGAGGAGTGTGTGGGGCCGGCCCACAGGCTGTTCCGTCCACACAAGCAGCCTCTTCCCTCTGTCTCTGCGGCACCTTTCAGTGATTCGGAAAGAGGACCTCCTTAAGAAAAGCCCTGGGGACAAACCGCTGGCCACATGAAATTGCATCCAGAGCCACTTGAAAACACCTCTCTCTCTCCATCATGTAGCAGCTGCCATAAACAACCCATGGAAACCAGTGCAACGAGTAGGGACCTCACAAACAGAACCCTTCAAAGACGTGTAGCAGCAGGCTGGGGGTTCCACACGGCTTGGGGTGGGTGGGAGGCAGTGTGTCGGTTTGCAGCTGGGGGGTTGTGGACCTGGTAGTATCGTCACCTGTCATTCACTAATTCAACAATGATTAACAACTGCGCTGCGCCGGGCCAGGCACAGAGGAATTAATGTATCTCCCTGCTCTAGAGAGGGTCGTGCCGGTGACTGAATCCCAGCGCCTGCTCTCGGCTTCCAGGTCCTAGGCTGGTCTCACGTACCCGGCAGGGGAGGAGTCCGATACTGGATGTAGCTGCATAGTCAGCTCCCCGAGCTTCGTGAAGGCGGCGCCGGCCGCGGAGAAGATCTCTCCAACCTGGGGGCGGAGCAGCATTACGGGGGGCCGGCAGCGCGCCGTCCCACCCCAGCCTCGGATCCGCCCGCCCCCCGCCCAGCGCGCACCAGCCGGGAACCAGGCAGGGGGCCCACCCTCCCGTGGCCGCCAGGGAGCGCAGTCCGCGAGGGAGGTCGAACCTTGGTGGACGCTGACGTCATGGCCCCGCGCACCTCCTCACGGAGACGCTCCGCCGCTACCACCACGCGAGCTGGAAACCACGGAGAGCCGGGCAGCCGGCCGCTCTGGCTCCCGCGCAGGAAGTCCCGCCCTCCTTGCAGCCGATTGGCCGGAGCTCAACCTCTCCCCAGTCACTCAGGTCGCCTCGCCGCTGGGAGGAAGACGAGGTGGAAGACGTCGCCTCACTTCCGGCTGGCTTCATTCCACTTCCGTCGAAGGGTCGGGACTCCTCGTTGAGGCTGCGCTCAGTCGTGCAAGCCCAGGCCCGCCCTCTCCCTGAAAGCACCGACACCAAGCTTAGGAGAATCGCTTCTTTTTATTGTGGTTCAGGACAGGGCGGGGTCAGCCGCGGTGCCCCCCAGGGGCTGGACAGCAGGATTTGCAGGGCCAGGGATACGGTCTCGCCGGGGTAGCTCGGTCCAGAGGACGCCAGATGGGTGGGACAGACTGAGGCTGAGGAGTCTTTAAATAGAGGAGGGATGGGGAGGGAGGGAGAGCCGGTGCGCTCTAGCGCACCATGTATTCCTTTCGCTTATTGAGCCGAACTTGGCAGAAGGAGAAGCCTCCGAGAAGGAGGTAGAGGCCCGCGGCGATGAAACAGTTGTAGCTGACTTGCTCGTACAGGCTGTATATGTTCTGAGGGCCGTCCCTGGAGGGTGGCGAGCAAGCAGGGAAATGTCAGTCACCCAGAGCATCCAATGTGCACGCACCGTGCACCAGACACCGCGCTAAACGCTCCGACTCCTATTAGTCCTGCTGACAATCGTACGGGATGAGTTCTATCGTGGGATCCGTTTTTGCAGAGGTAGACTGAGGCGCGGGAAGGCAGAATACTGGAAGAGGCCTCGTCTACGCTGGTGGGCTTGGGGTGGGTGGCCACGGAAGTCTGGCTTGCAGGACTGCTCCTAAGTGCATTTTTAGTACTGGGGACTGCAATAGGCCCTTGCGTTCTAAGCACACGTTTGCCACTGCACTACTTTAAAAAGAGAACGGCTCTTCTTGCGGTCCCCCAACCTAGGGCCGTCAACGTTCCGCCTTCAGCAGTGCCCCCCACATAACTGCCTGCCCTGGTGTGCATCCGCCTAAGCACCCAAGCACTTACTCAAAATCTTTCTCTGTGAAGGGAACGTCCTCAATTAACACGGCAGAGTGGACGTTGAAAAATATCCCCAGCATTATCTGGAAGGACAAAGAAATAGGTAGGTTGTCAAGTTCTGGCACCTTACCTCTCGGTCGCTCCCTAAGCTCCTCCCGACACCTGCCCCTTGGGTAATCAGACAGGGCTAGGAGCAGGGTGGTTGTAGCTGGATTCGGACGCAGCCATCTGGAATAGGGCGTGAGGTAGGGCACCGGGAAGGGTGGCTGGGTACAAGGAGGTATGGCAGACAGCTCTCCAGACGCGTCACTATCATGGGACTAGGCGGAAGAGACGAGGGAGACCCAACACTTCATGGTTCTGAAAGTGAAGGCCGGTAGGACCCTGGAGAAGCAAGACCTCAGCTACCATTTTCGGGAGAGCACGCTTCTTCCTCGCCTCCATTCCTCTCAAGCATGTCTCAGGGACCTAGCTCTCGTTTACCTTGAGGGGTCGGCAGATTTACCAGCGCTGGCTTCCCTTCCCCAGGGTCCCGCTCCATCACCCTTTCGCTCTAGTTCCCAATTTTTCGATCTAAGTTCCGTCTCGTTTTTCGGCGGCTAGCTAGCCAGACCCTTGATCTGTCTGCTGCTTCCAAAGGCCTGGGGGTTTCTGGCCTCCCAACCCTTCAACCCCGGAGCCCCTCAGGCCCGCTCGGACTCTCGCGGGGCAGCCCCCTCACCAACATGATCACTCCCCAGGCGCTGAGGACGATGCCACAGGCGGCCAGCTTAGGCCCACAGCACAGGAGCGACGCCATGGAGGAGGGAGGGAGGGAGGGAGCTCCAGAGACTGAGCGAGGAGCAGAAGCGGAGACAGGGAACCCTGGAGACGCCGGGGACAGGGAGCTGGATTTGGGGACTTGCGCGGCGCCGAGCGACAGGGGGCGTGGCCTTAGGCGCGGACTACTCGGAGGGGGCGGCTGGGAGACAGCGCTGCTCCACGCGGCGGGCCAAGCCTCGGACAAGGATGCGGTGTCAGAATTCGAAGCAGTATCTCCACAACTCTTCCTTGACCCAGGTGGTAGGGACGTGAGGGATGCAGGAACCAGGGCCTGATGGTTCTTCCTTTTCTCGACCCCTGTCTTGGAATGGAAGGAGCAGGCATCTCACGTGACCGACTTGGCAGATCACATGACCAGGAACTAGCTTTAACCTGGTGTCTGGAGAGTTACCGGGATGAGCGCCTGCTGAGTTGAGCAGTGGGCTGTTCTGTTACGTCGGGAAGCTGGGGGTCGTCTAATCCCTCTCCCCCACACATACACGCACGCCTTAGTCTCCGGTGGTCTTCTGTGATGGGGGAAACGCTAAGCGAGACGGTGAGATTACTGACATGCTGGTCTATCCCCTCTATCCAGGTCTCCCTTTGAAAGATGCTTTGACACTTTGAGAGGAAAAAGGAAGACCCCCTTCCTAAGACTGAGCATCCTGCTCGGAGGACCGCTTTTAAATAGTTGCGGACTTCTTGACCCTGGAAATGCTACACTTGAAATACAGCGTCGCTCTAAATGCCGCTTTCAGGAAAAATATGGTACTAGAAAAGCAGACTCGTTAGACATGAAGGCAAGTGGAAAGGAGTAGATGCACAAAAAGTTGCTGTTGCTTCTCCCCGCTAAAAAGCTGCAGGTACTTTGAGTAAGACAGAACATAAGATGTGTCTTGGTCACTGTCCCAGTGCTGAGGAGACACCATGACCCAGGCAGCTCTTAGAAAGCATTTAATTGGGGCTCGCTTACAGTTTCAGAGGTTTAGTCCATTATCCTCATGGTGGGGAGCGGAGCTACACCCTAATCGTGTCAGGACTGACTGGGCCTGGCATGGGCCTTTCAAACCAGAGCCCACCCCCAGTGACACACTTCCTCCCCACGGGGCCAAACCTCTCCTAATCCTGTGACCTTTCAAACAGTTCCACTCTGTTAACCAAGCATTCAAAAATAAGAGCCTATGGGCCATTCTCCTTAAAACCACCTCAAAATGTACAAATAATAGGCTTTCCTCTCCAAAACAAATTTGGAAACATTAACTAGTGAGAAACATATTTGTAGTACTTATTTTAGGTAGTTAGATATGATTAAAGAACACCCCCTCCTCTCCAGGGCTGGAGTTCAAGCTCAAGGCCACTGAGGAAGAAAAAAAATGCAGATTGGTGTACCCATGCTACTAAGGGCAATAGCCACAGGATAATTTTGAGAATACATTTTAATTTCAAGACCCCAGAACCAAGCAAAACACTGCTATGGACTAGAATCTTGAGGCATTTTGTTTATTTTGTGGATATTAGTCTCGAAATGATTGTGAAAGAGAATTTGTGAGGCACACAATGGTTACCAGGTGCTAAGCAGCCAGGAAACATGGGGCTTTTCTGCCTCTTTTGTTTTGCAACTGTCCGGGAAGGAAGCTGTTTGGGGAAATGTCTTTTATTTGGGGCCAGCAACACCACTAAGGGCTATTCAGAGTATGTGTTCGAATTGGAGAAGTAGGGGTGGAGGGGATTGTTAAGAGAGTCAAGAATTTACAAGTTGGCCACCAAGTCTATTTCCTGGTAAAGGAGAATTAGCCAAAATAGTTGATTTCATCCAGAAATATAATTTTCCTCTCTGCAATCCTGACTCTTGGGTGTTTTGACACTGGAATTTTGGGGCTGAAGCTTTTGTGAGCTTAGACCAAATATAATCTGAAATAGTGCGCGTCCCTCAAGCACAGCACTTTCATTTTCATTCACTTGCCTGTTTTTCTTTTCTTTTGTTTTGAGACACGGCTTCTCTGTGTAACAGCTCTGGCTGTTCTGGAACTTACTCTGTAGAGATCTGCCTGCCTCTGCCTCCCAAGCACTGGGATTAAAGGTGAGTGCCATCACCGCCTGGCTTTGTTTTTGTTTTTAAATGAAAAAAAAAAAGCCAAAACAGCCAAAATACTATCTGGTGACATTCGCATCTCAGTGTCCACACATAAAGTTTTATTGTAACATAGTCACACTCATAATGTCGGTGGTTGTTTTAATGGTACAGCAGAACAGTTAGTGCCCTGTGGAGGGTTTAGTCGGGAGAGGAGTTTGAGTCTTAGCAGCAGACGTAAGGAGGCAGGGACTCGAGGGCAGTGACAGCCCTAGAGCTCCTGGGATTCTCCTGGGTGCAGGCACCTGGGGCTCAGATGGTGATGCTGTTCTCTATGCGGCTGGGCTTGAGGTATTCATACGGCAGGTCAAGTTGCTCATTCCGGGCTGTAATCTCTCTTTCCAGATTTTCCAAATCTGATTGAAATCGGCTCAGCACAGTTTTGGTCCTGGGGTCTGAGAAATACTTTTCTTTGTGTTGTCCTAGAGGTACCTGAAATGGAAAGGATTATTCAGGTTCCAGCCTGAAGAAACCCAGCCCCTCACATGATACCCCCCCCCAACTGTTACTTCCCTCTTCTTGATTCTCACTCACCATGTCCGACTGGGGGCGACTTAGATGCCATGCGATGGTCATTTGAAGACAGGACTTCTGAATATCCGGTAGCGACCCCATCACCATCTCCATTGTCACGTCCTCCTTGTTGGTGGGTGGGGGCATCCTCATTGTGCATGGAGCATTAGGTACCCAACCGTACCAGTCCAGCTGGGGAAGGAAACTGTAGCTCTAGAACCCAAGTGTTCCAGTTTGAATCCCCACTTCTCCCTTGGATGTCCCAAGGTCCAGACACTTGCTCCCTGGGCCCTGAGCTCTCCATACCTGGCCCTGGTTGATGGCCGCATGCTGGGAAGTGCACGTGAAGACACACATGGTAAGGAAATGGCAGAGTTGATCACGGCTCTGGAAGGACACAGGGAAACCTGGCCAGGAAAAGAAAAGGATTTAAACGTTACAGAGTAAGAGAGAAGAAACAAAGGATGGTCTGTATTTTAGAGCAGATGTGTGGTTTCTTATTCATGTAGATATATTTGTATCAGATATAGGTCCCAATACTGGCCTAATTACTTCTCAGTTATTTTAGACCAGAGGCTCTCAACCTGTGGGTCTTGGCCCACACAGGGGTTCCATATCAGATGTCCTACATATCAGATATTTACATTGTGATTTGTGACAGTAGTAAAAGTACAGTTTTGAAGTAGCAACAAAATAATTTTATGGTTGGGGTTCACTACAAGAGTTGTAGCATTAGAAAGGTTGAGAACCATTGCAGAAGACCATTTACTTAACCTCTCCGCATTCCAGTTTTTCCCATCCACACAATGGATATAGTGTATGTAATCCCAGCTCAGAGGCAGGAGGCTTTGGAGTTCCTGGCCAGCCCAGCCTGCATGTAAAGTTCCAGACCAGTCTGCACCACTGTCTGGACTACACAGTGAGATCCTGTCTTTAAAAAAAAAGCATCAAAATCATCTGTTTTTAAATAGTGCTCAGCCAATAACAGACACTGTCGTTGTGGAAAGATTAGGAACTGGGCAATCAGTTATCCCTAGTTAGTTAAGAAGGGAATTATAGTTTCTTAGTTGCACAATGGAGAATAAGAAGTCCTGAGCTGGGCCGGTGGCACATGTCTGTAACCCGAACACTTAGGAGGCTGAGGCAGGAAGAGCATGACTTCAAGGCGAGCTTTCACTACATAGGAAGTTTGAGGTCCAGCTAGACTAAGTGACCCTGTCTGAAAACAGTAAAGTCCTCAGCTTACCTCATGCCAGTCATTCACAGTGTGTGTGGGAGCTCTGAGTTGAGCTGGTACATATATAATTACACCTGTTATTTAGATAAGAAGATCAAAGGCCAGGGAGATTAAATGTTTTTCAAGATTACCCAGTAACGGGAAAACAGAGGCTGACTTTGAACTGGGGTTCCCAACTGCTATTCTATTACCCATTTTCATTTTAGCATACTTCCTCTAAGTCCAACAGAAAAATTAGGCAAAAGTGGGCTCGGTGAGTTGAATAGAAAGAGGAGGGGCTGGGAAGCTATTTGTGGAGGTTAGAGTTAATATTTATGGTATGGAATGAAGGGTTGTGTTTCCACCCCCAAGTTAGTATTCTGAAACTATTTGCCAGTGTGATGGTATTTAGACATGAAGATTCTTTGGAAGGTTATAATGTCATAAGTTTGGAGCTCTAATGAGTAATGGCACTGTCCTTATGAGACAAGACAGAGATCTAGTTTGTTCTCTCTCTGCCATGTGGTACTATGAAGGTCACCTGTGTCACCAGGAAGTGCGCCCACCACAACACAAGTATGCTGCACTCAGACCTCAGACTTTAAGCCTCCAGAGTGGTGAGAAATAAATTTCTGATGTTAAAGCCACCTGTGTGTTTCACTTCATTATCTCAGTCCAGACAAAGACACTGAGTATTTATGATAAATTCTAAGATGTAGATGCTGCTTGAGGAGATGGCCAGGGAGAAGAAGGGCCTTTTTGGACACATGAAGTCAAAGGGTCAGGACAGAAAGACACTAGAGATGCTCATGGTTGGCAAGAATCCGGTGGGTGAACCCCTTGCCTCCTAAAGGAGAGGCCTGCTCCAGGGCACAAATGTGTGCTGCATGCAGGGTCTTGCCATGGTGGTCCTGCTATGCCGTAAAGAAGCAGTGGATGGGATTCAAGGTCTGAACTGTGGAGGAGCAGTTGCTGAAAGAAACCTCAATGCCAGAGAGGAGGAGGCCTTGTGTTTAAATAGCCCAGGAAAGGCTAGTTCTTTGAGGAGTTGAGGGAGGAGGATGAAGGTTGACTAGAGTAATGACTACACCCTGACTGGTGGTAGGGGAGCTGGAGACTGAGAACTGGATTAGCCAAAGAAACCTGAGCCCCAAGGATGGGGACACTGGACTGACTGGAGCCATAGCATGCAGATAGTGTTGAGGTGACATCTAGAAATGACATTGCAGTCTGGCAAATGTGCAGCATGCCACAAACCTGTGTGTGGACAGCAGCAGGCAGGAAGGGAAGGGATAGCCGCGGCGAGACACGATGGGCTTTGGTGGGGAATTTTTCTCATTTATGTCTCAGGTAGAAAACCAGGGAACCATGAGTGCAGAGCTCCATAAGCCCCAGCAGGGACTGGGGGGAAATCACTGGTTGTGGTTCTGCTGTAGCTGAGAACCTGAGAATGAGTTGGTGGTCAGGGCCTCTTTACGAGGACAACCTGGGTATGTGGGATGGTTCTGGGTGTTTGGAGGCTTGGAGGGCGCTTTCATGAATGGAAGGGCAGGTGACTAGGGAGTTCTGTCCTCGAGGTCTGGGGAGGGGCACACCTGTCACTGGGACAGGTCTTACCTCTGTCCTGGGCATGGCACAGTCCCACCTCAGTGATCTCCCAACACCAGGCCTGCAGCTCTGTGTCTCCCCTCACAATATCATCACTTTGGTAGAAGAGGTGAACCATCCCCTCCACATACCTGCCCAGAGAAGGGAACGGAGCTGAGAGCAGAGGCTTCAGCCTCTCACGCTGCACTCTGTCCTGGGGCCACCTCGCACCGTGCCTGGGTTGGAGCCTACCAGATTTGTGTTTTGAAGTTTTAATCTCCATTCAAGTAATTAATTTACTGTAGCATTGTGGATCAAAGCAAAGGCTTTGCTCGTGCTAAGCAAGCATCCTGTGACTGAGCTACACCCAGGGCTCAGGCAGATTGAGGTCAGGAAAAGTGATAATAGCTAGTCTTCCTACACATCTACACATGACTGCTAGTCACTCCTGACAAAACCCTGGTTCTTCCAGATCCCCCAGCCTCTGCTCTAACAGCTCTCCTCCTCGGTGTCCTGGCCCTACTCCAGTCTCTCTGTTTTTAAACTGACAACTGACTCCACCTGTTCCTTACCTCTCGCTCTGGGGAGATACTTTTTTCCCCAAGTCAGATCTCACCCATTCCCTCTCACTCACCTGGAAGTGACTTCCCAGAGCCGTAAAGCGTCCTGAGCATAGAGGGCACTTGGGATTTTCAGCAGGCCTCTGTTAGCCAGGTCATCAGGGGGACAGAGGGAGCAGTAGGTCAGCTGTGCCAGTGCCCGAGTGAGCAGCTGAACATGGCCCCCTCCACCTGTGCTCACTACCTGGAACAAGAGAGTTGATAAGTCTTGATGGATGGAAGCAGCAACAGAGAGCCAAGGGCTTTATGGTGATCAGGCATAGAGTTTTCAGATTTAAAGTCATGTATATAAATAAACAGGACTCATAGGTTAAGGCTAGAGATTTTCATGGAAGTTGGTCTGTTGTCCCCAAGTGTTCCGACTATCAGTGGGAGCTGGGAGATCAGGTGGCACCACATCCCTCTTACCTGATCAAATATTCCCCCATCTGAGATGAGCTGGGTCCGGCTTCGTGTGTTGATTTCCATAGTGTAGCGAATGTGGGGAACTATGAACTGGAGTGGGGATTAAAGGGAGCTGTATTGAGATCTTCGTAGGACCTGACACCAAGTGTAACGTCCTACTATACTCTTGATGTTTTTGTTACGCTGCTACCTTGACAGGCTGGACTCTTACTTCTCTGATCACTCGTTCACATTCTCTAAATTCACCAGGAGTTGTCCACCATGGTGACTAGGATTTCAACCTACACTTTACCACTCTGATACTTAGCCAAGTTAATTTCTATTTAATATGCAATATTCCCATCTGCCAACAGGGGGCAATAATAGACTCTTGTCTTAGGAAGCTATAGCCTGTGTGACTATGTAGGTGAAGTGTTTGTCTACATGAAGGAATCCCAATAGTAACTGTTACTCATTCTCTTCCACCTTGAGTATGGGTTTCTTTTAGGAGCTCAGGGCCTTTTGATTTTCTTACATCCTATCATTTATATCCTCCTAGCTTAAATTAGCCTGTATATTCCTTATCAAAACTGCATCTCCATTCTTTGGTTATTGGACGTTGGGTTTCTTTAGAAGTGGCTTGTGGGGAGGGTATACGAAGCCATCTGCTTACAGAGTGGTGTCAGTGTCCATTCTGTCCCCCAGCCTTGATGGTGCTGTTGGGTCTCCTCTCTCCTTTTCCTTGGTTGTTATAAAAATCTACCTCATTCTCATGCATTCTTTTTGTCTTGTTTTTACACAGTTGATATTCATATTTTGTCTAATTTTGGTATTAATTTAAATTGCTTATGCCAAACACAGGAATAGCTCAAGCGATCTCTTTGACTTTGAGACATCAAAGCAGCTCACATTAGTCTGAGATTTACACAAAATTCTGAATGTTATAGAATGTCCCAAGTCACATGGTGGTGCATGCTCTGATCCATGAATGTGGGAGGTGGACCAACGAGTATCAGAGAAGCTCAAGGAAGTCTTTGGTTATAGAGAGTTTGAGGCCAGCCTGGATTGTAGAAGACCCTGACTCAAAAGCAAAACAAAACAAAAGAGTGAACATTTGGAAAATATCAAGGTCAGATGTAGGATTTAGACCCTGACAATGGAAGCACAGATTCTGCACAGAGGTGGTCCTTGGGACATCAGCACATTGAGCCCTCCTGTGTGTCCTGTGATACACAGTAGTTTGCCAAGTTTGTCACAGGATGTAGTTGCTAGGGTGGATGGAGCCAGAAGGGAAAATTTCAAGTGTGAACATAGGCTTTAACTAGACACACGGAGTAGGCAGTGCAGGTGCAGGAGGCATCATGGCATAAATGAAACCCAGGATACTAATAATCAGCCCGTGTTACCCAAAGGGGAATTCAAAAGGAGTCACAGCTATATTGGTCAGGCTCGGACAGTCAGATGGAAGCACCCAGCCGGAGGGATTTAATTGTTCTTCTTACCGTGTTCCTCACTTAAATACTCAGACAACACTTTATACACCATGTAGCTAAAACAGACACCTCAGTTTGCCCTTAAACTAGCCCTGACAATCACCTGCTTTTACACACTTGCACCATTTTTGCCTGGCATATTCTCTATATGTGAAATATTATCAAGGTTTTCAAACATTTTTATCTTCATTATATTATTTTAGTTGCATGTGAGTATGTGTGTATGGGCGCATGTGTGTCATGGTGCCCATGTAGAGGTTGGAGAACAACTTTTGAAAGTTCGTTCCCCTCTGTTCTCCCATCATCACACTGCTGGGGCTACAGATGAGCCGCCGTAGTTGGATTTTTGCATGGGTGCTTGGCATCTAAATCAGGTCCTCATGCTTGAGTGGCAAGCATTTTATCCGCTGTCCAAGCCCCTAGTTGGCCCTTAGCCACTTGCCTTCGAAAGAAGGAGTAATACTCTCTCCACTCCCAATTGACAGTGTCTCAGCTATATTGTAAGCCTACTGTGACATGGTCAGATGTTTGAGAATTTGAGATCTCCCTTATGATAGTCCTGAAGAGGTGTTAAATGACTCAGCTTGATTAAAATAAGTTCCAAGGTGTTGATACAGTTTTCTGCCACGGTCCCCCACCCCTTCACCCAGAGATTGCTATGAAGATTTTGCCGTTGTATCTACCTCCTTTGAGTTGTGGAGGGTGAAGACAGGTGGATTCCAGGGACTTGCTGGTCAGCCAGTCTAGCCAAATTGGTGATCTCCAGGTTTAGTCAGAGACTTTGTCTCAAAACATCTCATTTGGGTTCTAAGGGAGACAGACAGAGGGTAGAGTCTGTACCTTGAAGATAGGGTGCAGTCCTGGGAGGCACCTCATGGTGGCAACAGCGATGACCTCAGCCACCAGATGAGTGTTCAGCAAATGGAACTGGAGCTCGTGCAGTTGGAAATCTGAACTTCGCACCCAGATCTTAGCCAAGAGCCAGGCAAGTGGAGGATCTGAGGGCAGGAACAGTGTTGGAGCTGGGGAGCTGGGACTGGGAGGCTGAATCTGGGAGAAATAGAAATTGAGTATTTATGGAACTCCCCCTCTGTATGACACGGTCACAGTACCCAGGGAAATCGACGACTAAGCACAAATGGTTCCTTGTAGCAGCTCACACTTAAGTAGAAGGAACGAGAGACCCATCGCCCTGCTTCCCCAGCTATGGTGCCACCATGGGCAGACTGAATGCAGGAGAGATGGGAAGCAGGGGTCCAGAGAGGAGGTCCTACTGGAGCTGTGGGAAAATGTGGTGGGGCTCAGAAATCAGGTGATGGGATGGAGAGCAGGAGCTGCATGGGTGTGAGCCAGGTGTGGTGGCGTTCCTCTGTAATTCCCGGATCTCTGTGGCTTCAAGGCCAGCCTGGTTTGCATGGTGAGTTCCAGGCCAGTCAACTACACAGTGAGACTCTGTCTTAAGAACAAGGAAAACAGCACGCCTTTAATCCCAGCACTTGGGAGGCAGAGGCAGACGGATCTCTGTGAGTTCGAGGCCAGCCTGGTCTACAAGAGCTAGTTCCAGGACAGCCTCCAAAGCCACAGAGAAACCCTGTCTCGAAAAACCAAAAAAAAAAAAAAAAAAAAAAAAAAAAGAACAAGGAAAACAGAACAAAGGTGGAGCTGTCAGACTATTGACAGTGCTGGTGGGAGTGTAGGTGAAGAGTCAAGTGACAACGGACCTATAGAGCGGAGGACACAGACTTAATAGTGGTTCTCAGTGCGGTCCTCAGCTACTTAATCTCATCAATTTGGAACTTGTAAAGAAAGCACTTTCTTAGATCCACCTCAGATACACTGAACCACAAAGTCTGGGGGTGGGTCTTAACAACCCCACCCCAGGGCCTGTGCATGCTAGGTGAGTGCCTTGCACAGAGCTACACCCCTACCCAGAAACCCGTGCTTTTAACAAGTTTTTGAAGTGATTCAGAAGCACACTGACATTTGAGAACTGCTGGTAATAGGATGAGAACTCAAGAGGCCATTTGTTGTTTGTTTGTTCCTTTAAAGATCTTACTATGTAGCTCAGGTTGACCTAAAACTTGTCATGTATCCTTGTGTAGTCTTGAACTCACGATCCTTCTGCCTCCAGAGTATTGGGATTATGGGTATGCACCATACACCCAGCTGCTTCTGTGACTCATGAACAAGCCCTTCCATTTGGGTGAGTTGGGACTAGGCAATGAAATGAGGTAGCTCTCAGAAGAGGTGCAGCCTGGGAGCCAAGCACCTAGAAACTGGGTTTCTGGGTGCAGAGGTTTAAGTGACAGAGAACAATGTTAGGAATGAGATACTTAGGGAGCCTTACCTGGATAACCATGGGTAGCAGCTTCCCATTGGGGTCCAACCTCAGCATGACAAGAGGGGCAGCCAGGTACTGCTGCTCTCCTCGGATCACATTGGCTGGAATTCCATCCAGCAGGGTAAAGTCAGCTTCAAACAGGGAACCATTCTGGAAAAAGGAATGCATCCATTTTTAGAGTTCAAAGTTCACACATTGAGAGGCCAAGACGAAGGCAAGATATTTGAAGACATTGTTTCCAGCTTCTTGTCATTGTCATTCATCAGTCCTAGAGTTCTACTGATAGAGCTACAGTTGGTTCAGTTCCTCTAATCTTAAAGTGAAACAGTAACAACAAACAACAACAATGGCAAACCACAAGGCACCGGATGAAGATGTCTTGTGTGGGGATTTCTGTAGCAGATCTGGGTTCAGAACAGGCCTGCTCACTCCAGTTCGCAGCACAAGCATTATCAACTTGACTCTGTGTCTAGATGGCCAGTCCCTTGTCCTAGCTCTTGTCTTCTCTCTGCTCTTGGCTCCCATCAGCTCAACAACACCTCCTCTGCTCTGTAAGAATCACCTGCTCTGATGGATAGATATTCCGCAGAGCTCCCTGAACTACCATTGCCACTGAACACAGCGTGCATAGGCTTATCCTCCTGGTAACCAGTTCATCCTTCCCAAACTCAGCTCTCTAAAATTTTCCAGAACACCTCCTGAATCCTCTCCCTCCACAACACAGGCATGGCCCTTTCCCCTGCCAAGATCACTAGGATCCAGGACAGTGACAGCAGCAAGAGTGTCATTACTCCTTCTAATGTCTCTGGATCTAGTCTGTGCCGTAAGGATCCACCCTCTTTCCCTAGTTTACGTACAGGAGCTCCTTGTAGCTTTTACATGACATTGCCACTTTTCAGATACTTTTTTTTCTAGCAAAAGGCATGCACCAAGGGGTGCCTCCTTTCTTGTCTCTTGCCGTTGGCATCCTCAACCTCACTAGGTCTTACTAGTAATGAGAGAACAGTGCCAGGCAGGAGGAAGGTACCTGGAGTTCTCTGTCCAACTGGGCTTGGAGCTCCTCTGTCCCAGAGGGCAGTACCAGCCTGGAGGGCAGAGAGGTGCAGCGTCTTAACAGCATGGGGTTGGCACCATTGAGGAACTGGTAGCCGAAAAGCTCATCATCCTTCCAGCAGCGGTGAACCTTCTCTGTGGTGCAGGGGTAAGGCACAGAAAGGAGGAAGGGATTTACCACAGCCTAGATGTTTCTGTTCTTCACATTTGACCGTGGGGATTAAGACTATCCTATGTTCAGCCATTTTTATTTTTGTCATTTTTGAGGCCTCTGTGAGGATATCAGGCATAATTATATATATATATATATATATATATATATTTGGTTTTTTAAGACAGGGTTTCTCTGTATTGTTTTGGAGGCTGTCCTAGAACTCGCTCTGTAGACCAGGCTGGCCTCGAACTCAGAGAGATCCGCCTGCCTCTGCCTCCCAAGTGCTGGGATTAAAGGCGTGCACCACCGACGCCCAGCCAGGCATAATATATTTTAATTTGGTGAGGAGCTATGGGAACCATGCATTGTAATGAAAAGGGACCACTGGGATGTTATAGAGATCTGGGGAAGCCACTGACCAGCCAAGGCACTCTTCTGGCCCCAGAAGATCTGATCAAAGTCTTCCAGACGGTTCCAGGTTCTCAGGAGGGTGTAAACACGTTTGAGACGCATTTCCAGAACCCTAGGACAGGTGTTAAAACATGATCCCATCATCTGATCCTTATCTCCTCACTAAACACCACCTGGGTCTCCCAACTCCCATGCCATGAGCTTCAGCAAGTTTCTTACCCCGCCCTCAGCGTCCACTCAAAGTCCAGCCTCTTCTCCTCATGGAATCTCATATTCACAGGTAGGTCATCCTTACAGTCTGCTGCTATTGTCTGAGGTAAGCCTTCCTTCCAGGTGGCCCAGCTAGAAGTTGGGGATAACACTTCAGGGAGAGTGTCGAGATAAGTGGTGGGGATGGGTAAGGGAGGGGGGACAGTTGGGAGGTCTGTGGGTAGACTGTCACCGGTAAGTCTGTTGTCTTTCCTTCAGTTCCTTTTCTCGATGCTTCTGGAAGACATCCAAGTCATTGCCTCCTGCCAGGCGGGCTGGGGAAGGTTAGAATTAGTTGTACTCCTTGTCTGGTTCTGAGCACTCTTCCACTTGTCCCCTGCTCTTTTTGTCGCCAGTCCATGTTTTCTGCTGAGCTCCGCTGCTTTTATCTCTGTGGCTTTGCCTCACTTGATGACCCCTGGACATTCATCTGGTTTTGCCAACTTCAAACCACATCTTCCTTCCAGATCAGATATCTGCCGTGTGTCCTTGTTCCTTAAGTGCCTAATCTCCTATCTGACATTTCACCAATGTCTAAAGTTGGAGGGAAATCGCCCTAACTTAGGCGATAACATCTTGGTCTCCGACACCACACCTCTCTATTGCTCCGTGTTGCTCTGGCTAATCTCTTACCCTAGACACCTTCACCCTTCCTTTCATTGCCTGCTTTCACTTTCCCCAGCCAATCGCCACTCTGCAGTTACTGTGCCATCACCTGGATTAGATCGGCCTTTCCCATCATGTTTCCGGCCTTACCACCCCAGCTTTCCTTCGTCTCTGTGCAGCTCTTTCTCTTGGTTGCCATGGCAAATATTTGAAGTTTTGTAGCTCTCATGCATGCCCTCTCCTGCCAGGTGATCCTCACTACTCCAATCAAACCAGTTGGTAACCGTGGCTCGTTGGCCATCACCTGCTCTGTGAGCCCTCCACCTGTCTGTGCCCTAACTTGTCCCGAGTCACAGAACTCATCCTGTTGTTCTTTGCTTCTGTCTACAGTTCTGTGACCTACTTCCTAGTAAGGAAAACGAGGTCTCCAGATCGCCTATTTCCCTCTTTAAGGCAATATCACTTATTCTGGAAAACACTTGGGGGGAATTCATAACTTCTTCCCATTTCCTCACTTGCATCCCGGAAATTCTCTGTGCTAGTGTCTGCCCATCCTTTCTTGAGGTTCCTTTAGCCCCCCCCCATCACCTCCAGCACTCCCCGTTCGCCCACTTCCGCAGGGTGAGATGCTGCCTGCTCACCTGTCCCCTCCGGCAGGCTCAGTACTCCCTCCCCCTGCAGCCAGTGGTAGCAGGGGAACACTGCCTCTGCACTTGTTGAGGGCCCCTGGACCGTGATGAGATTGCAGAACCAGGCGTCGTCCACCACCCAGTGCTGTTTGTGCAGTTTCACAAACTGCAGTGGTCCCAAGTCCTCGGGAATATCAAAGTCAAATTCCTCCTCCTGTGGGGACCAGATTCGCCAGACTTAGTAGCAGGAATTGGGAGAAGCCTTTCGGAAACGGAGCCGCCCTTTGTGGAGCCTCAGTTTACCGCAGTGAGCTGTCAAAGAACACACCTCGCTCTTGCTCTCCCTCCCTCTTCACCCCTAACCTGTCTGGTGGGTCTAAGGTGTCCCGTTTCTGTGGGAAGACCAGAGACTACAGAGCGCTGACCAGAGATCTGAGCTGATGATGGAGCATCGTCTCATTCTGTTCACTGAGCTCCCAACACACTGGAGCTCAGAGCAGCTTCAAGTCTGACCACAAGTACGACTGCTCTGGGGCTCTTTAAGCCTGGGTCGGGGTCCAGGAAAGGAGACCAGCCCAGTCCAGTAGCTGACCTCACTCCTGGCGTCCCACCACAAAACTCCATTGCGGTCGCGCTGTCACAGTCCCTAGCCTCCCGTTCCTTGCCAACCTCCCACGCCCAGCCCGGACCCTGGGTGGCTCAGCTCTTGCCCGCTAACCTTGCCCCGCGCCGGCCTTAACTGCAGCTCCAGTTTCGCCTCCCCATGCGCCCCAACCAGCCACAGCCGCACTTGGTTGAGGGATCCCGAGAAGAGCCAGGCTCCAGTGACCACGCGGACCCGGTAGCGGCCCATGGCGCCCTTTGGCTCTCTGGCCTCTCGGGAGGCGATCCAAGTGAAGCTCAATTCGAAGACAGCCCAGGGCCACCGTCGCCTCAGGGGCCAGTCCCAAGGCTTTAAAAGATGGATCTGTATCCCCGCCCTCTCAACTTTTAGGCACTCCTCCCAAGTCCCCGCCCCAGACTAGCCTGAACCTGCTAGTCTAGCAGGCTTTGGGGAAGGGCTGTGCCATTGGGTTAGCTATGGTGTGAGAGAATCTAAAGATGCCCTGGAAGTAAGTGTGCGTGCGTGTGTGTGTGTGCGTGCGTGCGTGCGTGCGTGCGTGTGTGTGTGTGTGTGTGTGTGTCTAGACCAGTGGTTCTCAACCTTCCTAATGCTGCGACCCTTAAATACAGTTCCTCATGTTGTGGTGACCTCCAACCATAAAATTATTTTTGTTGTTACTTCATAGCTGTAAGTTGGCTACTGTTATGAATTGTAATGTAAATATTTTGTTTTCCAATGGTCTTAGGCAACCCCTGTGAAAGAGTCTTCAAAGGGGGTCTCGACCCATAGGTTGAGAACAACTGCTCTAGCCTTAGATCGGATTCCCCAGGTGGGAACATTCAGGCTGGAGCTAAAAAAAGCCTATTAGGAGACTTCCCAAAGTCTCTGGGTCTTTATGAGAACTTGCAGAGGGGTTGAAACCAGTTTTTAAACAGAGGAGGGAAAAGTGTCTTTCTGGGCTGAGACCAGATAGTGCCTCTATAATGGGAGCCTGGGAGGGTCTGGGGGATTCCCAGGCTGCCTTGAGCCTGAAAAGACAGCATTTTCGACGGGCGTTGGTAGCGCACGCCTTTAATCCCAGCACTGGGGAGGCAGAGGCAGGCAGATCTCTGTAAGTTTGAGACCAGCCTGGACTACCAAGCGAGTTCCAGGACAGCCTCCAAAGCCACAGAGAAACCCTGTCTCGAAAAACCAAAACAAAACAAAACAAAAAAAGACAGCATTTTCAGACTTACAACCCTAGCCCCCCTTATTCCCCACCCCCAGCTTCTATCCCACCCACTAATATCAAGACTTTAAGATTGAAATACCCCAAATGTCCTGGGCCACACATCTTGAGGCAGGCTAAAGACAGTGCATGCCTCATTTTGTCTAACCTCCAGACAGTGGGTGCCAAAAATGACAGGCTCCCAAGAGCACCAGTCTGTACGAGCGTGTGGTGTACAATCACTTAGGCATCTATGAGTGGGTCCCATGAATTTTTTTCCTCTCAGGTAAGCCCTTCTTTAGTGGATCCCAAGTTGGATTTTCTTCCCAAGCTATCTCCTGGTTGTGGTTCTCAGAATAGGAAAGTCATGAACTTAGAGTGATGCTTGTTAGGGACTTTGTAAACATCAAAAACTGGCTTAGCACTCAGGCCTTGTCACCTATTCAAGTCCCTGTGTAGGTTTTTATGAACTAAGATGTTGTAGTTTGGTGACTTGGAGTAGGCTAGGGCCAAGCAGATCCATTTCCTGGAGTTGGCATTCTGACGGTTGGTAAGGAAAGTCACAGGGGTTTCCAGCCTCCAAACCTTGAAGCCTCTGGTCCTTGGTGGGCTATCATTCCACATCTAGGCCCATTTCTGTCTATATGTTCCGTGTTCTTGTCGAGTGACAGCCCCCTTTCTTTCTTTCTTTCTTTTTTTTTTTTTTTTTTTGGTTTTTCGAGACAGGGTTTCTCTGTGGCTTTGGAGGCTGTCCTGGAACTCGCTTGGTAGTCCAGGCTGGCCTCGAACTCACAGAGATCCGCCTGCCTCTGCCTCCCGAGTGCTGGGATTAAAGGCATGCGCCACCAACGCCCGGCCCCCCTTTCTTTCAATGTTTTGGTGTCACCCTTTCCTGTACATTCCCCATGGTTCATAGCAGCAGGGTGTGGTCCTCTCCACATGTATTTTCATAGGTTCTGTTTCACCTTCTCAAGGAGTTTGGGTCACATCTACTAGATGATTGTTTAACTCAAAACTGCTTCTCTAGTGCCTTGTGACTAGTTTTCTGCCACTTTGGTGTGCTATGAGGTGTGTGTGTGTGTGTGTAGAGAGAGAGAGAGAGAGAGAGAGAGAGAGAGAGAGAGAGAGAGAGAGAGAGAGAGAGAGAGAGAGAAACTAAGGAAAATATCTGAGCTGCTGCATAAAGTAATGAGTTAATATGTTCAAACACTTAGCACAGTTTGACACACAGCGCTCTATGTATCTATGTATTAATGTATTATTCTTAGAAGTTCCTCCCCTGTTTCTTACCACCACTGCTTCCTCCACAGGCCCTGCTTCCTATGAGGATCCTCGCTTCTGAAGACCTGCTCCCTCCTTCATTTCCACTCATTTTAAGTACATTGGGAAGATACATCCAATTTTAAATGTTTTCTGTGGTGCTGAGTATTGAGCTCAGAATCTCAGGTGTGCTAGTCAGATAGTCTACCACTGAGCTACACCTCAAGTCAGGGAGGATATATGTGGTGATATCGTGTCTGTATTCTAGCAAAATAAAACTTGCCTGAAGACCGGAGGGCAGAGCTAGCCACTAGCTAACCATAGAGGTCTGGAGGTCTGTACAGACAGACAGGAAGTGAGATGGCTGGGCAGAGAGAGGAGTACAGGTGGGAGAGGACAGGAGTTTGGTCTCTTTTCAGCTGGGAATCCGAGGAGGTGCCGTGTGGCTGTGGCTTCCTCCTTCGTCTGTCTGATCTTTCAGCATTAACCTCTATCTGACTCCAGGCTTTTCTTATTAAGACCAGTTAGAACTAGTGCTGCAGATATATTTAAAATAAAAATCTTCTCCCAACCCTAAAAACCTCTTCACAACTGTATTAGAGAAAGAAAACAGCTTTATTAGTAAATGAGCCTGAAACTGGAGTGTGATGTACATACAGCACATGTGAAGAACATGTGAAGATGTGGAACTCCTCTGTACACACAGGTACAGCCCACTGCAGTCCCCGTACAGACACAAGTACAGCCCACTGCAGTCCCCATACAGACACACAGGTACAGCCCACTGCAGTCCCCGTACAGACACACAGGTACAGCCCACTGCAGTCCCCGTACAGACACACAGGTACAGCCCACTACAGTCCCCGTACAGACACACAGGTACAGCCCACTGCAGTCCCCGTACAGACACACAGGTACAGCCCACTGCAGTCCCCAGTGAAAATAATAGCTAATCGTAAGGCGGGCGTGGTGGTTCCCATTTATAATGCCAGTATTTGACTGGCTGAGGCAGGAGGATCATCAGAATTCCAAAGTCAGCTCAGGTTACATAAGGAGTTCCAGGGAAGCCTGGGTTACAGAGTGAGATCCTGATTAAAAAACAAACCAGCAGGTGCTGGAGAGACGGCTCAGAGGATGGGAGCATGGGAAACTCTTGGCAGAGGGCCTGGGTTTGATTCCCATCACCCACATGATGGTTCATAATCATCTATAACTCTAGTCCTAAGACTAGACATGGACACCAGGTATGCACATGGTACACAGATATTCATGTAAGCAAAACACTCATACACATAAAATAAAAACAAAGTTTAAAACAAAGAAACAACAACTTCTAAATAAATCAAACAAACCCCTTCCCTTTTCCCCAAGTCTCAGGTAAGAGGACTTGATGGTATCCTGTGTCATACACAGTACGTCCTGGACCCACTTGGGCCTGTAGTGAGCATCTGTATTTGCTTAAATGGATTAATCAGAGGAACAAACAAAATCCTCCTGTATTTCTGATAAACTAATTTGAAGTGCAAAGAAAATGCATGTCTGAGTTAGGATCTCACTCTCCACCAAGCTTAGCCATGGAGGCCCTGTCTCCCTTTGCATGCATACCGCAAATCTCCAGGTCCTTGAGACACACATAAAGCTGGTTCAAGGCTTGCACAGGGCTGTAGATTCACACAACTTCCTCCGAGACAGAAAAGAACTTGCAAGTTTCTTAACACATCCTCTCAGATGTCTTTCTATTTATTTGCTTGTTTTGGAGAGTTTCACTCTGCAGACCAAGCTGGCCTTGAACTCACAGAGATTCACCTGCCTCTGCCCCTGGAGTGTTCAGATTAAAGGTATGCACCACCATGCCCAGCTCCTTTCCTTACTTTTTTTTTTTTTTTTTTTTTTTTTGTTGTTTTTCGAGACAGGGTTTCTCTGTGGCTTTGGAGGATGTCCTGGAACTAGCTTTTGTAGACCAGGCTGATCTCGAACTCACAGAGATCCATCTGCCTCTGCCTTCCAAGTGCTGGGATTAAAGGTGTGAGCCACCACCGCCTGGCCTTTCCTTACTTTTTAATGGAGAGAATTCAGCATCGTATTTTAAATCTGTCCTCTAATGCTATGTTCTACGTACACATGACACAAGAAGGAGCAAGGCCTTGGTTTTGTCTGGCCCTTTGCTGTGAGAAATTCACAGGTGTACATTTCAAAGCTAAATTCTCAGTCCAGACTTCCAGTGCCTACTGTCTGTGCCAAAAGCCAACTCCTACATCCCCGTGACCTGTCTCTGCAACTTTTAAATTCTTGATCAAAGCTTCTTTCACCATGTTATGCCCTGGGGATGTGGACAAGCAGGGTGACCCTTGAATTCCATAGCCAAAAATGCTTCTTAAAACCTTTTCTAAACACAACAATCCATCCTTTCTCTCTCCCCCATGCCAGTGTGTCTCCCTTTGCAGTCACTTTCTGGGGCAGCGCCTCTATTGTCTTCGCTGTGCTATTACTTGGAGCTCATGTATGGCATGGGGCTATATAAACTCATATTGGTTTCTTGAGGCATTTACTCATAAGAAAGTCATTATTAACCATGTAATTTTAAGCGTTTGATCATAGGATATGATTTCAAGGCAGATAATGTAACATTTACTTTTCTAATTACTAATTTGGAAACCTGTCTCTACGTGCAGGACAACCAGGATTCCCCTCTCTGAGTGTGGTCATTGGTATCTGGTGTCTCCTGGTATGGCAGGAGAAACTTTGTCCTGTGAAATCTAATAAAGTCATTTCCTAATGCTTCTGGGGTGTCTTGTATAGGCCACAGCAGTGACACAAACTAGAGCTTCCAAACTCCAGGTTCACACAAATTTGGACAGGGTCCCCAAG